AGGCCTTTGGTGAGCTCAGTTTGGGTTCAGAATTATTTGCGATGAAGTTGAAGGGTTATTAATCTCATAACATCCACAGACAGTGCCATTGTGAGCATCTTTTAGAGAACTGTCAGTGTATATATGGTAAAATGCTGAGGTTTCTGCAACATGTGATGAGCGCTCTTTGAAACTAGTCTTACCTCTGCTTCACAGACAATAACTCTCCTCAGAGCACATCTCCTTGCTCCAGCTCTCCTAGTTCACCCGCTGCACACATCCGGCCGAGTTCTCTCCACGGCCTGGGCTCCAAACTCAGCACACAGCGCTACACCAAGGTGGGCCGCCGGAAGTCAACCAGCAACATCCCCCCCTCGCCCCTGGCCTGCAACTCCTCCTCATCCTCCACCCAACCTCTTTCTCCACAGCGTTCTCCCTCTCCTTTGTCAGGGTTTGCCAAAAGCTTTCACGGCTACCACGGCAAAACCCTGTCCCCACCCACCATTGTCAGACACATTGTCCGGCCCCGCAGCGCAGAGCCGCCTCGGTCCCCTCTCCTGAAGAGGGTACAGTCAGCTGAGAAACTGTCTGGTGTGTATCATTCTGATAAGAAATTGTACACCCCCCGCAGGCACACGCTGGAAGTGCCGTTTTATGGTGAAGGGGACCTGCTGGGTGACTCAGAGGCAGAGGGGGCCTGTGGAGGCGCCTACATCGGGGCAGATCTCAGCAGGCTAGGGGGATACATCGGCAGCCAGAGGCTGAGAGACTCTGGGATTGAGCGATCGGAGCAGCTGGTTGTGATGCGAAAGCTCAACCTATCAGAGCGGCGGGACTCCTTTAAGAAACAGGAGGCGGTGCAGGAGGTGAGCTTTGATGAGCCGGAGGAGAAAACCAGCACCACGGTTACTGTAACCACCACATCTCCAGGAGCCCAAACACAACATAAGCAGCAGCAGGACAGGATGGCCTGGATACTCACTCGACCCCAATCCAGTGTGGAGATAGAGCTGGAAGTGCCGGTGGTGAGGAGGTTCACACTGGTGCCCCAGATCGCTGTGCAGGGCTCAACTGAGAGCGAGCAGGATGAGTGGGAGCCGTGTTCAGATGGAGAGGAAACCAACGAGACACCTGAGCTAGAGGTGGACATCACTTCATCTCAGCCACAACAAGTAGGACGTCCTCTTTCTGACAACAGCTGCAGTCAAGCAGCAGAAACAACCTCTGCTGGTCCTCAGGGCGGACCACAAACAGAGAAGACTGAGTGCAGAGAGGAAGCACCTCAAAAAGGGCCTCTGAGAAAGTGACCTCTCACCACTGCACTCATTTCAACAGCTCATATCTTTTCTGTCAAGTCTCTCAAAAGTTAAATTCATGTATAAACTCGTCTGGCTGACAGAACGTGGGATAAAGTTTTACTTGAATTTTTTTAATTGTAAATATTTGCCTCAAGGCATTGCAGACAGTCTTGTCTTATTTATTACATTTGTAAACTATGATGAGTGAGTAACAGGGAAAGAGGGAAGTTCTCATTAGTTGAATAGCCAAGGCTCAACATTTTTGTATCCATAAAATGTGGTGATGTCTTTTGACTGGGTTGTCTTTTGTATAAATGTCTATTTTTTAAATGAATTGTCGCTGTACAGAGTAGTTTGATAATGCTAGGCGTAACTGTTGTTGGACCAAAAGGTACGAGAAGTCTTTTTTTTTTTTCAGTGTCGGCTTAGATCTGAACAGTGCAGCTTCCGGTAGTGTAATACTGCTATTATATTGATCCCCATAAACCTAAGGATGATGTTTGGTTCACACTGTGAGCACCAGGGCTGATGTGTCATTTCCTGTTGTATCTAAAATGTACAACTACAATACACATACACACACGTTTTGCTGCTTTGCTTCAGCACCACATCCTTGAGGAAAACATCAAAGCCACCAAGCACTAATTAGAACGGAGGAAAACTGCGATGCTTTGCAGAGCTGGAAATCTTCCACTTTGCACTTATCAAACACAACTATAGTTCAGGAACCAGTCACATAGGTGGGGAAAAAAGCAGCGCTGAATTAGACGGCAGACATGGATACATTAGTTGTGTGGCTCGTGTTTCTCTGGCAACTTTGTCAGATTTGTAGAATCAAAGTTCTTCCATCGATTTGTCGACTGTGTTCCTTGCAGTGTGGTCACAGTATTGTACAGTTTCTTACATGTGGATCTGGTCAGTGCAGGGTAATGTTGCACACTGACACTGTCACTGAAGTTTGACTTACAAGTACAATCTGTTATGAAGACACAAACAAAGAAGCTAAATCAAAAAGGGTATTATGTGCCATCATATCAGTGCAGCGTCCTCTAAGCCATATCTTTGAAGACAGTCGAAATCATTTGTGTTTGTAATCTCAACTCAACATGAACATTTTTCTGATTGTGTGTTTTTCTTCCACTGGTATCGCACTCTTGACAAAGTCCTGGATGTTACAGAACATGACACACTCTGCTTTGTGACTTCTCGATGTAGACTGTGTGATACCTTCGTAGAGGTATCTCAGTTTTTTCTCTGGTCACTTTTTGACATCAGCATGGCTCCACATCTCGCTGTAATAACACTGCTCAAAGCATGCAATTTACAGGAAAAACACAGAGCAGTCAAATTGAAGATGATGATGTCTTGATGTCTGTGTCTTCTCGAGAGCCTGGAGGGAGCTATCTTTTTGGTATTTATTTTCCTTACTTAGAATAACAAGACATTTTGTACCTGGAAAAATGTTTGAGCCTTGTGTATTTTTTGGACGTACCTTTTCCTGAAACCGTAGCTTTTGTCTTCGTTTTTTCATGAGCATGTAACAGACACCATGCCTACGAGACCTGCTCCTACTTAATTTACCGTGTAGTGATGTTTACATCAAGGGGGAAAGTGCACTAATGTATTTTGACATGAATTTTTGTAAGTGAATGTTGACGGCACAGGGAAACCCTTACATTGAATCCAAACCCAGGGCTTCTTTGAACAAATGTTTGTATGTATTTGTATTGTACAAATATTGATGTATATTTTGATAACAAGGATGTGTATAATTCCAAATGCGTTGAAGGTTATGATATGCACAATGACAATTTGAGGCACCGGGATTTTGGGAAGTCTAGCTCGAGGGAACGGGCTGTTGTATTTCAGATGTACTTCCTGAGTTTGAAGTTTTATCGTCTTATTTGTCAGTGGCTTTTTGTACCGACTTTCTCCTCAGTCTTCTCTTTCTAAAGCATCAGAATTGTTGATGTGTTTCTTGCCCGTATGTCCCTCTTCCTCCTTAAAATCTCATGATGATGACCTTTTTACAGGATACTTTCGTTCTGTCCGCGAACAGCTCGGGGAGACTATGTCACTGAACGGCTCAGTTATTTTTTGCAGTCTGACGGAATTGTTTACACCGAACAAACACGCTACGTACTGTACAAACATTTTATATCCTGTGGCTGTACATGATGAAACTACCCTCTCTGATACCATGAGAGAAATCTCATAGAAGTTACATATCTGTTTTTGTTTTGTTCTTTTGAAAATGTTCACAAAGAGTCATTTAGCACCAAGCTGAGAAGCATTTAGTGTTTTTTACATGCAGCTAAGTAACTGGGCTGAGGAATAAAAGCACAACGAGATGTCTGCTGGGAAAAAAACTGATTTCTTGGCCACGTGTTTTTTTTTGTTGTTGTTGTTGTTTTTGTTTTTTGACGTGCATATTTGCATAAAAAATGTCAGAGGGAAAATAATGCTGCAGAGGGATGGAATTTACTCTAGAGGTACATTTATATAAACAAAATAATGGGATACAAGTCAGACAAAATGGCTGATTTAAAGTAAAAGTCAACATGTACGCTAAACCAGTGGTTCCCAACTGGTGGGTCGCTGTCCAAAAGGGGGTCGAATGGGACCGCAAATGACTTGCCAATGTGTCAAGTCTAATGACTAAGAACAAATCTGCACCCTGTGGCTGAACCAGTCGGAAACCACTGCTCTAAACCGTACCTTTAAAAGGCCTCATTGTTAAAGAATACAACATGACACAAAATAAACCAGTCTTTGAATTTGATTTGGGACAAACCTTTTTGCAGTGCGTGTAATCCAGAGTTCTCCAAACAACTTGGTTTCTTATGTGAATGTAGACAATGCTTGATTGATCACCACTTTTGCACCTGCAACCACACCTGAGGATGATTTGTCAGCTGTAAGGTTAAAAACAAAATCAGCCAGTGGAGGTCAGCAAAGACAAGACTCTCAGCTGGTGCTAAAAGTACTCTTACAGAACAAAGTGGCAGGTCAAACTGTTGTACATGTGCATGTGTTCTCCCGTGGACTCTTCTGTTCAGTGCATGCTGCATGAGACAAGCACACGTGTAATACTTGATCGCATGGTATACCGGCGGTGTCGCCCTGTACTGTGTTTTCTTGTGCAACAAATAAAATTTGTATTTCTCTTTGACTCATCCTTAGTTTGACTCACTGCTGTTTTGTGTACTGTACCACTCAGAGTTTTGAGTCACACACAGTGCTACTACATCACTCTGTGGGACAATAATCAGGTACTGTGCACGCTGTAACAAGTGTGAACACGTGAGCCACCTAGTGTGTTTACTTTCTGTGCAATTATGTGACTATAAATAAATATAGTAGGGTTGCAAATATATAATATATTTTACAGGGACCTTACAACACAGTAATGTTAAAATTTCAGTAATAGAAAACTTATAAACACTGCATTTTGCCAGCAGTAATATCCTTTTACTAGTTTGTTAAATACTGGCCACACTAACACATAATGACATTCAATTATAAATAGAATAAGAATTTTCAAAACTGGGATGTTCTTTAAAGCAGCAAAAGCAAAGTCAGCAAATATTCCTGGAAAATAAAACAGTTTTGAAGCTGCTGTATGAGAATCTATTGTGCACCAGGGTGTAATGCTGCAGTTCTCCTTCAGACCGCCAGATGTCAGTCACGTGCTGAGACACGTTTGGTCACATTTCAGAAGAAGTCTCGTGCCCTTCACAACAGCAAAGATGGCGACTGCTACCAAAATCATTCAGAGGCTCCGAAATTTTTTATCGGGGGTAAGAAACACAACCACGGACAAACTTTATATCCAGGACAGGACGAATTGTTAAAGACACACTAATTTGTCACCGAGTTATTCCTCTTAATAAAATTTCATACAAGCGGAACGGGCGGAAGTTGCCAATTTCAGTTAGCTTCTAAGAGCTAGCCTGTCAAGCTAGGTGGATGATAACATTGTGAAGGAAGCTAGTTTGTTTCGTTATGTTTTTCAGCAACTATCAGTAATAATGTTTCCTTTACAGCGCGACCTGCAAGCCAAGCTGCAGCTGAGATATGAGGAGATTGCAAAAAGGTGAGACTTCGTGCAGAAGTGTTTACGTTACCATATGTATGAAACCAGCAAGGTTAACGTAGCTTCCCTGTCGTGCTGATACACACTGAACTAAAGACGGTCTCTGGTAGCACATATAACCCAGATAACAGTGACGTGTTGATAAAGGCTGTCAGAGCAGTGACATGCACACCTGCCTCGACGTCCTAGTTTGATTCTGCATCACTTTAAAATTCAGTACAGTTAGATTAAGACACAGGTGAACGATGGCAGCTTATCAGAGGTTGTATTTGAAATATTGGGCTGCACTGCCACTTGTCAGGCTCCCTCAGATAAATACTTACCTGTGCTATTAGCAGTTGGTTTGACACCTGGTTTGTATGTCATCCATGTAATAATAGTAGGCAAGTTATGGCATTTATGTGCCTTGAAATTTTACCTTTCAGGCAGCATCTGGCATCAGACCATGTAAAGCTTAAACCATTGTGAAGTGTTTTTGCATTCAGCCCTTACAATCATAACTCAAACTGACCATGCAGGATCCTACTCCATCATGTCACTACTACCTGAAATTATAGTAGTCCCAACAAAGGGACAGAATCTATGCAGCCTGAGAGAAAGTATAAGTGCTGCTTAAACTTTGCACAATAGTCCATCAATGCTTTTTCTATAGGACACAGCCACCACCCAAACTGGCGGTAGGCCCGAGCCATAAGTATGCCGACAACTACTACTACACCAGAGATGGACGCAGAGAGTCAGTACCAGCCACAGTCGTCATGTCTTCTCAGAAGGCTCTTACCGCTGGCAGGTAAATCACTCGATCATTGCATTTTTGTAGATTGTAAAATTCAGATTGTAATCAAATAATGACATTACTCTGATTATTATAACTGTCTTATTGAGCATACCTGGATTAAGGTAAAAAAACAGAACAGATTACCCTCCCACTTTTAAACAACTGTGACCTGACTTCCGTTTATGCTATGATTATAGAGGTTTTACGGTGACAGAGTGAACCAAGTACTGAATGGTAAATGGACTGCACTTGTATAGCACTGTTCTAGTCTTCTGATCTCTCAAAGCGCTTTAACCCATTCACACACACAGTCACACACACACATGCACTCACACACACCCACACCCATACAGTATCTTGCTCAAGGATGCTTCGGCATGTGGACTGGAGGAGCCGGGGATTGAACCCCCAATCTTTTAATTAGCGGATGACCCACTCTACCTCTGAACCTCAGCCGCCCCCTACTAATAGGTGAAGGAAATGTATTTTATCTAATGCTGCAATATGCACCTGCAGCTCCTCACCTAGCTAACCAGTTACTTGTGTAAAATTCATCAGCTATTGGAAAACAAATGTAGATTTACACCAACTTCTGACTGCCAGTAACTTACTCACTTCCTTTTGTTACTTCTGGTAAAAGCCATGGTCAGTGACCTTTGATGGAACTTTACTGGGAAATCCAACGACAGCAGACTGATAACAGAACAATATTTTTCTGACCTTTAATAAGCCAACATAATGAACAGTAATGTGAGTAAAATGGGAACCATGTAAACAGTCATAATCCGATTATGTAAATGGTGTTATGTTCACAGTTGGAGTTTAGTGTAACTACAGTAATATGTGGAGCACACTTATTATAGACTTTTAAAGGGCATTCTAGACATGAAACACTAACCCAACTGTGGATATGTATCAGAAATTTCTGCACATTTTGCAACACACACAGTAATCCAGCTGTTTGATGACACCTTTCAACCATGCCCCAATGCTTAGATGTGTTGATGTGACATCTTGTAATGTGAGCAGTAACCTCTTGCTGTGTGAAATTAAACACCTTGATTACATCTACCTCCTGAAAACTTAAACATTCTGTTTTATGGTGATTGTTTACATACTTGTGATATTTTCTTGACTCTTCTGATCTCTTTTAGCCAAGTTTCTGAAGTCCAAAAGCCTCCAGTGACCCCGGGCCCTGTATACAATGGGCCACCACTCTCCACAGACCAGCCGTACCTCTGAGCAGCAGCGTTAACCTCTTCAGCATCAACAACCTAATTTCTCCATCCAGACCTGCTGTAGAGGTCTGACCTCTGCACATGTTGGTTGTATCCTGTACAATAGAAAATGTGAATAAATGTGTTCTAGTTAAGATTTGTGTGGTCATATTATGAACCTTAATGTGAAATGGATTTTGAATCATGAGTGTCAACTGTGTGAGTAGACTTCTGTGTGAGAGAGAGTTGTGAAACAGTGGGTGAAAGGTGAGCCCAACAGGAGGGGGGCTAAGTAGATGTGTGCCAGTGCAGCAGCAGGATCCTCTGTGGGGCTCAGACCCATAAAGTCGAGAACCTAAAGGTCTGACTCAACCTGCGCCTTCTCACCAAATGAGACAGTCCAGTCTCACAAAGTCCAAAACTTATGATGACTCACAATGTAGACACTAGCGGTAAACTCCTATTACATGAATTGAACATTCAGGATGTCTCATGCATCATTAATATCATAATTTTTCAGTTGTCATTATGAAACCTGCCAAAGCATCCATTAGGGTGCATAAGGTACTTAACCATAGTCAGTATATGACTAACAATAGATATCAGTCAGCATGCCCCCAGTTTGGACAAATGGCAGGAGTGCCAAAATGGAAGCTAAGCAATGTACTGCTGTGGATAGTGGTCATCAGCTTATGTATTTTAGCCACCTAAAAATATCTACAACAGTTTAGGTGTACGCTGTATTGAGAGTATTTTCTCCGCTTTACCTTTCTGTCAGACAGCCTGATCCCACAGGAAAGCAGTTAACAGCTTCAGTTCAGCTATGCTCTCATCAAAGTCACCAGACTCCATTGAGAAAAACAGTAATTTTAGCTCACTAAACGCAGCTGCTGGTCTACCGCTGGCTCGATCTGTTAGTTAGTTTGTGTTATTGTGTGGCTTTGGTGAATCTGAATGAACCCTTTTAAGGTATTTTGGGGGGCTTTTTTTGCCCTCATTTGATAGGACAGATTTAGTGTGAAATGGGGGGAGAGAGTGGGGATGACATGCAGCAAGGGGCTGTGGATTGGAACTGAAACCACGGCCTCTGTGGCAAGGACACAGCCTTTGTACATTGGGCGCTTGCTCTACCAGGTGAGCTAGATGGTGCCCCTGAATTAACTCTTTTAAATGGCAATGTCACACAGTAACACAAAATAAAAAATAACTGGTGGAGGCAGTAGCAGACCAGCAGCCCCTGTGTTCATCATTAAATCACTGTTTTTCTTAGTGGAGTCTGGCTTTAATCATAGCAATATAACGTCTTCAGTTCCCAGTCAGAAATTGCTGTCTGGCAGAAAAGTAAAGCAGTGAAAATACTCTCAATATAACAAACACTTAAACTGATATTGATTGTTTTAGCTGGGACTTTTCATGGGTGTCTAAAATACACTTTATTGCTCAGCTTCTGTCAGTAGTCCTGCCTGCTTCCTCAAGTGGGTGTTTGCCAAGTAACATCCACTGTAGGCAATACACCGACCATGGATTAGTACCTCACACAATACCACTTCAAAAAATCCGAACTATCCCTTCAAAGGACATGCTTGTTGTGTTGGTTGCAGCTCTGCTTCTGTCAGTCTGAGCCTTGATTATGTCCCAGGTAACCAGGCACACCCACAGAAATGGTCCAGTGCTCGCCTCCGCTGCAGTTGCTCACAAAAAACAAAGAAAAAGACTCATATTATTTCCAGGAGAGGGGTCTTTTATGTTATGAAACAGGCTACATTTTACTAAATTTAAAAGAAAACTGTTGATTTTTTTATTTTAGTTTAGTTTTTTGTTTTAACAAGTAATGGTGAATATCTTGGTCCAAAATAAATGTCATATATTAATGCTTATATTTAAGACGAGCCTCCCTCCCCAGTGGCTGGGCCCCAAAAAGCTTCCCCTTTTTACCCCCATATGGGCGGCCCTACATGTAATCAAAGAGACAAAAAGGGTACTTCGACAAAACTTTGTATTTTGAGAAGCAAAAAAAGAGAAGATTTTTAAAATGTAAATATTTGTCAGTAAGATTTTAGAAGCTGGGTTTACAATTATACTTTTAGTTTTATACTCTGCTAATATACAGTGGCACTTTCTCTTACCACCTGCCCAAATTATTCAAGTAACTTTAGCTAATTTATTTTATCAGCAGGGTGTGGGCAGGCGCAGACTGTGACATCACTTTTCTTCTTGCTTTCAGACGCCTTTCGCAAGGGGTGTGAGTTCTTTCAAAAACATTGGAGAAAAGGCAATGAGCAACTTGGTAAGAAATGTCCCACAAACTGAAAAGAAAAAAAAAAAAAAAAAGAATATTTTTTAAAGGGGAAAATATTATTATTATTTTTGTATGTAAAGAATATTGCAATTTTTTTGCAAATTTTTGGGGTCACTTATTTCATTGCTCATGGCCAGTTTGCTCAGGTTTCAAAGGGTTAAAAGTGTTTAAAAGTGGGAAGACCTGTTCAGAGTAGCCTATGAGAGCAGTGACGTAAACAAACTGCAGTTACATCAACCTGAGAAGAGGTCCAATCAGCAAACAACATCAGAAACACCTGTGCAGGTGTGCACGCTTCAAACACACCGGTAAGCTGTTGGATGACAGAGCACTTCACTCTTAAAGGTCAGTATTTTTTAAGGACAAATTAGTTTTATATTCATGATTTTATGTAATGTAATGGATAATATTTAGTACCAGACAACTGCTAGAAAAAGATTTTTAAAGCGAGAATATTTTGATTTGTGTTTTATGGCCATTCTGACATATTGAGCAGTGTTTTGGTTTTTATTTCTGAGCAATAAAAACGTACAAGAAGTTTAGGAAATGCTTTATTTAAATGACAAACATATATGATATCACACTAAAGAATACTAGTCAAGCCATTTTGAACAGCTGTGAAATATTGTACGTCAAATTAACAAATAACTGAATAAAATAAAGGACAAATGAACAGCAGAGGAGATATTTGATTATTAATTTAGACTGTATCGTGACAGTAATATAATTTCGTATGCACCATTAACGTCACACATCTTCATTCACAGACTGAACCGACTCTTGCGTCATATTTCCGCGTCGCGGGCAGCGATGCAACCGTGGAGGACATCGAGCATGGGACACCTTGGAGGTTTATTTCTTCTGCTCGCGCCGCTGACCTGGTGTCATATTTGGGGTGAGATGTTGGAAATATGTATGCTTGTGTGTGACAGTAGAGAGCTGCTGGTGTGAGGCGTTTAATGTCTGAATGTGAGGACGCACGGAGACACATCTGTGACAGCTCACAGTCCAGCGACCTGCTGTCAGTTTGAATGAAGTCTGTTTACTATGCAAACTACAATCAGCTCGGTGTTTGACCTGGAGTGTTTTCTTAGTTTTAGTGTTGCTGAACAAATATAAGGTAACCGGAAGCCAGTTTAAAGCCTATTTCAGATGCATTAGGACCAATGCACGTGCGGAATTTGTCAGTAAAGCGGGACAGGTTAAGAAAATGGAGGCATGCCGGGTGCTTATGACCCCTAGTTTACACTACCAGATCGTTACGTGTTTGCAAATGTTTAAATTAAAAACACATTTGTGGAAATGGGTTTATTATATAAATATAATACATATCTAGATTATATATGCAATAACAGTAACAGTGAAACTGCAAGTGTTGGTGCAGCTTTATCAGCCCAGTGAGACAAACACTTAGATGTGATAGGAATGACAGATTTTATGCAGCTTTGGTGGATTTATGACAGAAAATGTGATGTTATTTAAGTGAAGAGCTCCAAAGTGCAGAGAAAATGTTTATTCCGTCCATAAATGAATTAACAATAGTCTCACTTTTATAGGCTTTATGTCACTACATGACACATTATCATGTTTTATTATATGAAAACTCTCTGGTGAATACAAAAAAGAATCGTTCTGTTTGGCATATTCTATTTTTATGGCAACAAAATATACATATACAGTACAGGCCAAAAGTTTGGACACACCTTCTCATTCAATGCGTTTTCTTTATTTTCATGACTATTTACATTGTAGATTCTCACTGAAGGCATCAAAACTATGAATGAACACATGTGGAGTTATGTACTTAACAAAAAAAGGTGAAATAACTGAAAACATGTTTTATATTCTAGTTTCTTCAAAATAGCCACCCTTTGCTCTGATTACTGCTTTGCACACTCTTGGCATTCTCTCAATGAGCTTCAAGAGGTAGTCACCTGAAATGGTTTCCACTTCACAGGTGTGCCTTATCAGGGTTAATTAGTGGAATTTCTTGCTTTATCAATGGGGTTGGGACCATCAGTTGTGTTGTGCAGAAGTCAGGTTAATACACAGCCGACAGCCCTATTGGACAACTGTTAAAATTCATATTATGGCAAGAACCAATCAGCTAACTAAAGAAAAACGAGTGGCCATCATTACTTTAAGAAATGAAGGTCAGTCAGTCCGGAAAATTGCAAAAACTTTAAATGTGTCCCCAAGTGGAGTCGCAAAAACCATCAAGCGCTACAACGAAACTGGCACACATGAGGACCGACCCAGGAAAGGAAGACCAAGAGTCACCTCTGCTTCTGAGGATAAGTTCATCCGAGTCACCAGCCTCAGAAATCGCAAGTTAACAGCAGCTCAGATCAGAGACCAGATGAATGCCACACAAAGTTCTAGCAGCAGACCCATCTCTAGAACAACTGTTAAGAGGAGACTGCGCAAATCAGGCCTTCATGGTCAAATAGCTGCTAGGAAACCACTGCTAAGGAGAGGCAACAAGCAGAAGAGATTTGTTTGGGCCAAGAAACACAAGGAATGGACATTAGACCAGTGGAAATCTGTGCTTTGGTCTGATGAGTCCAAATTTGAGATCTTTGGTTCCAACCGCCGTGTCTTTGTGAGACGCAGAAAAGGTGAACAGATGGATTCCACATGCCTGGTTCCCACTGTGAAGCATGGAGGAGGAGGTGTGATGGTGTGGGGGTGTTTTGCTGGTGACACTGTTGGGGATTTATTCAAAATTGAAGGCACACTGAACCAGCATGGCTACCACAGCATCCTGCAGAGACATGCCATCCCATCCGGTTTGCGTTTAGTTGGACGATCATTTATTTTTCAACAGGACAATGAACCCAAACACACCTCCAGGCTGTGTAAGGGCTATTTGACCAAGAAGGAGAGTGATGGAGTGCTGCGGCAGATGACCTGGCCTCCACAGTCACCGGACCTGAACCCAATCGAGATGGTTTGGGGTGAGCTGGACCGCAGAGTGAAGGCAAAGGGGCCAACAAGTGCTAAACACCTCTGGGAACTCCTTCAAGACTGTTGGAAAACCATTTCAGGTGACTACCTCTTGAAGCTCATGGAGAGAATGCCAAGAGTGTGCAAAGCAGTAATCAGAGCAAAGGGTGGCTATTTTGAAGAAACTAGAATATAAAACATGTTTTCAGTTATTTCACCTTTTTTTGTTAAGTACATAACTCCACATGTGTTCATTCATAGTTTTGATGCCTTCAGTGAGAATCTACAATGTAAATAGTCATGAAAATAAAGAAAACGCATTGAATGAGAAGGTGTGTCCAAACTTTTGGCCTGTACTGTATGTTCAGCAAATATATCCAATGGAGTACTTAGCTTATAAATGAAGGGAAATCTGAAACTCATATGTGGAAAGATTAATTAATAGAGACAGTCATCAAGGGTAGCACTTTTTTTGTAACTCTTTTTGTATTTATGTATTTATTTTTAGGTTTTTTTTTTTAAACTTTATTTTCCTTAATTTTTTTATTTTATTTTATTTTTTTGCAGGTGTTTGTGGGTATGTGTGTGACTGAGTGCACAAGTTTGAAGTGTACATGCACACATACAGTATAATTATGTATGTGTATACTGTATGCTACTCTTTGTATTGTATTTTGTATTTTTTATATCTATTTAATTGGTAAATTTGTTGTTTGATTAATTGTTTTTTTTTCTTTCTTTTTTAAATTCTTATCCTTGTTAATGTACACAAAGTTTAAAACACTGAAAGAAAAAAAAACATTTACAAAAACATAAAATATAGTAGGCAGAACCTTGAATATGAAATAGAATCAAAGATATTTTTCTCAGACCCCAAAATTATGATAACATACCTTGAAATTTAAACCTGTACCATGTTGTTATTTATCATTGTATATCTATAGTTAATTGATGTATCACAGGGTGACACACCTATTCATATAATCTCACATTAAAAAAAGAGAAATGTCATCAGTACATGAGCTAACAGTAAACTGTCTGATGTGTTTCTGGTGCTGCAGCTCACTCTCTGCCCGCCTGCCGCAAGCAGCTGGAGTTCAGGTGCAGCGATGGCTCGTGCATCCCGACACTGAGTGTGTGTAATGGACACAGAGACTGTGAGGACGGATCAGATGAACACCGCTGTGGTGAGCACGATGTCAACAACACGATCCCATCTCAAACTGCACGCACATGCACACAAGTATATTTTCACACGCTCTTTTTCTGGCAGCATGAACCAAACCAAAATAAAACTGATATGTCTCTGATAGTTTAGATAGTAATCTAGGAATCTGAGATGAGGAAAGGAAAGGTCGTTTACAAAGCCAGTTTAACAACGATTCAAGAGGTTTCATAAGACATGAAAAGGCATTCAGATCATAGGCATGTCAGATCACAATGGGCCCCCCTACCTCTCCTAGGGCAGGTGCAATATTTTCCTCCAGGTAACTGAAGGGCCTAAATTGCATAAACACATCTGAAGTCCTGAAGCTAAACTGAGGAGAGTGAATGTTTAGGCTACTCCTTCAATTTTCTCAGTGCAAACAACCAACTGGTCCATTACCTAAAAGGATTTTCTAAGTAGCTCTGCAGCACTTAACTTTTTAGTTGTGAGGGAGGGAGAGAGGAACGGGTGGATAGATGGATGGGTTGATTGTTTTTCACAATAATAAAGCGCTTAACCTACATTTTATACACTCAGTGCCGAGTCCACACTGTCTGCAGATCAGAGGCCATTATCAGGAAGTTCACCAGATTTGCTCTCAGTGGCATCATCATCACAAATGGTGTCCGAGTCTACAAGGCTCGGACAGTCACTTGTGCTGGACAGTGTGTGTCCTATTCAACTTACAGTGTTGTGTAATGCAGTTTGACCTGATTCTAACCGACCTTCATCTCATTTTCTTTCATTCTGTGGGAAAATACCGATGCAGATTTTTATTTTATAATCTGGTTAAAGTCATGAGAGACGTTGATACTGAATTCTGGAGGGATTTGTTGCTCTGCATAACGTTTGCTCGGCTGGAGAAAGTGCTGTAAAAGGATTTAATGTGATTGCAGTCATTTAACAAAAACACTGTTGATGTGAGGAATGTTAGCGGGCATGAATATTGGCAGTGTTCCTTAGAGGTCAGAGACGTGGGACTTTGACCTGAAAGTTGCTGGTTTGAATGCCGGCCAGGAAAATGAAGAAAGTGAACAAGGTTTACTTTGTTTTGCTCAGACGTGCAGCACAGTTCTTCAAAAGAAAACGGATAAATGCATTAGGAAGTGATCTGTTGTCAGTCGTAGAGCAGCCCAACACATACCAATGCAGTTTTAGTCAGGTTAGCATTAAAGTTAAAGTTAAACTTGAAGTTATAAAGTCCAGTAAGTCTGGGTGTCTTAGGCAAATTTGGCAATGTTGCAAAACAGTCTGCTTCATGACAATATTTGATTTCTATATTATCTTAACCTTAAAGTTAAGTCTGGGTCTTTGTAAAGATAGACGTTATTCACAGAGCATCTTAGACCTTAAAAGAGCTCCTAAGGTGAAAAACTGTTAGGACCAGGGAGGAGCACTTTTAACAGGCTTAAGGGTTTCTTAAGCAGAGGAGAAGATTGCAGAGAAATAACGCTGGATGACAATGAGTAAATTAATTGCTACAGATTAGATTATGCAGGGATAATACATGTGATTGATGTCATTAGGGTACACACACACTTCCCATCTAACACTATAACACCAGAAATAAAATGATCACAACACCAAGATATTTGGAAAACTGGAAAAATGCAACAGTGCAGCAGTGATGACTTGAGTCTGAACCTTCCATCAGCAGTGATCACACTAACAGTGACAACACTTTCACAGTCAGCAGTTCATTTTATTTCCACTGGGTGTCCACACTTTGCAGGCTCACAAAAGGGTGTGTCTGTGACAACCAATCACATCTGTTTAAAGAGTGTGTCGTAACTAGCAACGGGGTCAACCACACCTCCTCAGTAAGATAGAAGTTTCTGTCCCTTCCTTGCTCAGAGTTGCTCTGAGAACTTCCTAAATCACTCCTGAGCTAAGACTCCTTACTGAAGAAATTTAGGCTGAGCTAGGAGCTAGGAGCTCTCTGAGAGATTCTCAGTTTGTGAATACGGCCCCAGAAGCCTGTATTATGAGGCAGGATTTGGGGTTAATGAGGTAACTTTAGGGCTAACCTGGGTTTTGAGCACTACAAACTACTCCTGACCTGTCAGATAACTGGAGAAAAAAAATCCGACTTGGATAAAATGGAGATTTTAGTTGCATTTTAACTGTTTCCCAGAGTGATATATGATAATACTTATAGGTATTTTAAGCCTCTGCCTTCATTCATGGTTCTGATGCTGTTGCTCGTCATTAAGAACCCTGCCTCTTTCACATAACCGTGGCTGGATGGGAAAATCTTAGCAAGCTGCTGACCAGCTTTGTGATTCAGTTATCCAGATGTCCAATGTTGGAGTTAATGAAGACAGATAACGAAAAGATATCCTGGCTCCGTAGTACAGGCCTCTGGATGGATGTGATGAGTAGCAGGGTTGCTTAATATGAGCTAATATGATTGACCCATTGGACAGCTGGTGCTGATGAAAACTTGTATTCTGTTCACATATATAATTTATTAGCCTGCCTGAATCGTTTCTCTTCAAATTCTTTTTATGATCCCTTCAAGTGAGTTTACTCTGACGTCACATGACATTTGTTGCTCTCTTGAGTAGTATTGAAACTGCGTACAGAGCTTTATTATCAACAGAAATCAGATACTAAGATGTGGGAAACTTAATGTTGCTGGTCATGTTGGTGGTCTTAAAAAAAGCTGATATTTCACCAACTTCAGATATTTGTAGTGAAAGCTTTGAGACTCTGTACAGACTTAGTTACTGATAACGTGTGGCTCTTCACAGGTCACCTGTGGTGCAAGAAAGATGAATTTGCCTGCCACAGCAGACGGTGCATATCTCTACATTTACGTTGCAATGGCGTAGACGACTGTGGCGACGAGAGTGACGAGGCTTCCTGCCTGAACTGCACCACCGCCGGCTCCTTCTCCTGCGGCCCGTCTGACTCCTGCCTGCCCAGAAACAAGCTGTGTGACGGGCGAGCTGACTGTAAAGACGGACGGGACGAGTCTCAGGAGTTGTGCGGTTTGTCTCAGCCACACCCACAGACTTCTCCCACATGTACAGCATCTGAGTTTCAGTGTGGAGACGGGCAGTGCATCCGCCATACCTGGAGGTGTGACCACTCCCCAGACTGCTCTGATGGCAGCGACGAGGACAACTGTGGTGAGTAATAAGGCTTCACATCCTGAAATCACAACCCAAAAGAAAATCAGTGCTGGAACATGTGTATTCACTTTCTAGCTGAAAACACACTAGCGCTGCTGCGGTGTGTCGCTGTGGCCCCCTAGCACACACACCACACAAAGTTATTACTTCTTGTACCAAAAGATCTGTACCTCTTCCACCTCTGTGTTAGCTTAAAATCATGTGTGCAGAGCTCCTAATTAAACTTGAAGCTCCAGAGCTGTGACTCACCAGGCAATGTCTTTTTGGCCATTGTCGTTTTATAATGACGGGATTGTAGGTCGTTTAGCTTGGAAAATTTCACGACTTCAACTACGAGTCTCTCATCATCCAGTCTTTGTCACACACAAGACGGCAACAGCAACAGAGCTCTCTTTATGCATCCATTGAGAGGAGAGGAGTTGAGCTGCCACAGGAGCAGAGAAGAGCTGCTACGGGACCTGATATGTACAAGCAGAGAATGAGTTGGGGGAAAATGCATTTCTTTCTGCGGCGGTGAGGCTGGAAATAGGACAGTGGCATGAAGTGCCACAGGGTAACGCGTCCAGGAGCGCTAACGTGCGTGTAGCCACTGCCGGTGTGGGGTTGTACATTGAAAATGGGCCGCATTTTTTGACACGCTGCGCTGCTGCCGGTGTGTTTTGGCCTTCTGTCTGAGACACTCTGTTTAAGAACTTCTCTTTGAGACTCCCTCCTGTAAGAAGCCCACTCTGGTTAGTGTTTCGGGTCTTCTGCATCTGCGCTCTCGGGTGTGTGGCTTGGTTTTGATCAAGTTCACTTTTGAGAAAACGCGCTCACACGAGGCGTTTGAATGTGGGAAAACAAGCACATCAAGCACAAATGATGCTAAGTGCTTAACAACACTTGTTTCCCGCCCATGTCTTTCATTATTAAGGCATTATACCAGAAGTCATCCACATCCATCTCTTTGGAGCTGTCAGGCAGGTTCGTTAAGGCCATCTTTTGCTACTCGTTATCTATTTCCTGAATGGTATCCCTGTTGGCTATGTCCAGAATGCGAGGCACAGGTTGCATCAGAGGGAACAGAGATGGATATAGTGATTATGATTATGCGTCAATTGTGATGGCAGGAGAGAGGCAGACAACAGCAGGTTGCAGCTTGTGCCTGCCAAGGAGCTGCATCACACCTACACCCAGGTACACTGCGTTAACTGGTATGATTTTTGCCTTGTCTCTCAGCTCAATCTGGGCGATGTCTTAATGGAGAACATTGCCTCTGTCCATAAAAGATAAAAGGATGTCCTTGTAAGTTTAACATATTGTTATTACTGTTGTTATTTTAACCCTCTCGCTTTGAAAATGCTCACTAATGTCTGTGAACTTAGGCAGAACCCAGTCCAAGAAAAGATACAGTCGCAGAGATTCATTATTCAGAGCTTTGTATATGTTTTCTGCTGCATTCAATCTGGCATCCAGCCACTGGTCAGTGAAAAAAATAAAAAAGCTGCAGAGCATCCCACTGCGTGCACATCTGCTTGACAACATCAGTAACTTCAGATCTGTCAGGTGTTCTAATAATTTTGGCCACCACTGTAGTACTTGATGTTTCACTAAGCAGCCAGCAGAGGGCAGTATAGCACTGCTCCAAATCACACACTGACTGTACAGAAAGGCAGCCAACATCTTGTGACACACATCCTCAAGCTTCTGTCTGTTTACATGTGTGTAACAGCGTTAACTAATCTGTGTCGTCTGTCAGTGGCCACCAGGAAATACCACAAAAACAATACTTAAATCTTCATGAAGTTTTCATTGATGGAAGTGTCATATAATTTCTGTCGGTGGGTAAAATGTAACTAAACACAGTTTGACCTTAAAATTGAGTTCAAACAGCCAAAAGTTTCAACTGGTCAAGGAATTTCTTATTCCATCAATAAATAATTCAAAGATGGTGACTTGTTTGATCAGTTTCTGAGTCTGAGTTAGGATTGTCACAGAAAGAAAACATCTTTTCAGTCATTTCACAAGCAAAAATAATGAAAATAATATATAAAATAAAATGAAATTCTTTGGTTGCAGCTTTTTAAGGTGATGATTTGCTGTTTTTCTGTTTTACATCTTTGGACTGTTGATCCGACAGAACAAGACATTTAAAGACGTCACCTCGGACTCTGAGAAACTCATGAATCAAAGTAAAATTATATAATCAACAGATTAATCAGTGATCAAAATCATAATCAGTTGCAGCATTAAGTGTGTAAATGTAATGCAGCTTTGTTTTTCACCGTAACAAGTAACTGTACAACATCTGGAATCAATCTGTAGCTCAGTGATTTGGCGCTGTGGTGCAGTTCAGAGTACTGTCCCTTTTAATCGAACCAGCTGGTTCCGATTATCCTAATTTATTACTCATTCCTGACAACAAAGCAAAATCTGGCAGTGTGTAAAACGTGTCCACCCCTTAAATCATTTAATAAACAATCAGCTTTCATCAAACTATGAATTTGCTTTTGGTTAATCATGAAAGGTTTTAGACAAATGTTTTTGATTGATCCAAATGATAGAAAGTGTATCGGGATATTATTTGTATATTTTATGAACACATTTATCTTTCTTTGTGATACTTTTTTTTTTTTTTTTTTTTAAATGCAAACAGCATTACTTTACCCTCATGATGCCTCAGTTTTATGTTTTAATCTAAGCTCTGCTGTTGTGTAGGTTGTGTCTGTGGCTCCTTCCTCTGGCCCAAAACATGACACACAACAGTGGAATTTACCAGCAACTGCTGGATAGATTGGCACAAAACTTACACATTCACAATCCCCCCAGGATGACTTGTATTTATTTGCATTTTTTTGAGGTCAAATTGTTAATTCATCCAATACACTGGCCAATGACCAAAATAATAAAAGAACTTCTTTCATATTTGTCCTTAAATGCAGGCCTATGAATCCCCCATTACACCATAGTGCAGCAAATGTTTGGCAAAAGAGAAACTCACTGTTAATAATTTGAAGAGGAGGTCCATTCCCGAGGACTGCACAGTTGACAATTGTGAAACAAAAAAATTATCAGTTAAAAATGTAAAATGTAAAATTTGGTACATCAGCCCTTAAGGTCTTAATCATCTTATTCAAATCAACCCTGTTTGCCTCCTGCGAGAAACAAATCCTACAACATCATAACATCTAAAACTCAGAACTAAATGGACAGACCGCGTATTCTCTGCATCATATAGTTCTAAAAAAGGTGTTGCTATACCAAGATAAATAAAAAAATTTAAAGATAAAAAAAAGTTCCATACCAAAATAAAAATGTGGTTGCAGACTCAGATAGTCGCTTTGTTGTCATCAGTAAACTCATCATGAAGGTGATGATAACTGTAGCCAGCATTTGCGACGACAATTTGGGTTTGTTTCACACTGTATTCCAGTGCTCAATTTCTTATGCAGTATATTGTGTATTAGGATGGAGGTCTTGGCAGTGATTGATGATCAGTGAGCCAGTCAGAAAGGGAAATCTTTTACTTCTCATCCTCCTACAAAAGTTACTCTAGCTTAGATTACTTTATAGTCAGTAATTCTGTTATATGCTAAATAGGGCTGGGCAGTGTATCGATATAATAACAATACTATCTTAGATTTTGGATATCTTAACATCTTGAGTGTTGTCTTTTCCTGGTTTGAAAGGCTGCATTACAGTTAAGTGATGTAGTTTTCTGAACTCACCAGACTGATCTAGCTATTCAATTATTTGCCTTCTCCCACTTAGTCATCATATTCACGTTAGTGATGATTATTTATCAGAAATCTGTCTGTATAAATTATATAAATAATATATATAAATTTATTTCAGACCATGGTCGGCTTCAGTCTGGAGCATAAAACAGACCCCACCCCTCCAAGTAGGTGGTGTTTTAACACGTCACTCCTAACAAAGATTTAATCGGTCTTTCAGAGAACAGACATCCTTCACTGAACTGAACACAGAGGGAGGAGAAAGGACAAGAAATGCAACAAGATCTTGAACTCAGACATAAAACATATGAATTCCAAATGTTTCGACTCTCTGAACTACTGTAGCCTAAACTGCAATATAAAAAAAACAAACAACGAAGAAGCAAAAAAAGAACCGCATTTCGGTTGCAGGTTGTGAGAGGGGCCACAGGTATCTGTAACAGGCCAGCAACCATAAGAAGATTAACTACACACCGATCAGCCAAAACATTAAAACCACTGACAAACATTGATCATCTTGTTATAATGCAATGTTCTTTCTTTTTTTTTTTTTTTTTTAAACTTATTCTTTAACTTTTTCACATCCCCTTTTACATCAGGAAGGGTTATTTCATCACACAGTATATTAACATTTTACAAATAACCATATTGTTTATGACCCTTCAGCTTAATCATTTATGTGTATATACTAGGGGTGTAACGATACATTGATCCACATCGATACATCGATTCATTGATTAACGATCCGATTTTATCGATGCAAAATGAAAACATCGATCCATATCGTCATCTTAAAGATACACATTTATTTTGAAATTCACATAGCACGTCTGTGTCACCATTTCTGGGCGAGCGCGCCTCCGCTCAAACAACAAACAGAGCTCAGAAATAAAATGGTCAAATCATATTCTAGTTGTTTTTGTGAGTTGATGTAAATGATTGTGTTAGATGGGCATATGATATCGCGTCATATCGATCGCAGGCTCCTGAATCGAATCGAATCAAATCAAATCAAAATCGTATTGTGACAGACTTTGTGATATCGGCAAACATCGTATCGTCATCCAAACAAATCAATAGAATATCGTATCGTGATGAAGCTGGTGATTTACACCCCTAGTATATACAAGGGTAAATCAGAACAACTTAAAATATTAGATACTAAAAAGAAAGACAAAACCAAATACAAAACTGAATAAACAAAACCAACAAAAATCAAAAGTGACCAAAACACAAATAGTTCCAATGTATCAATAAAAGTAATTAAAATAAATAAATAAATAAAACTCATCATGGGTTATACATGGGTTCGCCTTGTATTGTCATATATGACGTATATAATACATATCTTTATCCAACAACATAGATGGAAAAAGGGATCAACCGAACATTTCATAATGAAGATAACTATCAGTTGCAGACCAACATTTCAAAAATCTTTGTGGCCTATGACAAAAATAACACTAATAATAATTGTGAAATACCACACACAGTATTGTCATCCAAAACAGTCCTCATACCATGGAAAACTCTTCCCATTGCAACCAATTAATTAATTGTCTTTCAATTATCAATCCCATTTTCCTCCCACTACCTTAATTAATGGCATCCAGCTTTGTATGAATAATTCCCTCTGTAATCTCAACATGTAAGTGTTTTTTTTCCATTGTGTAAATATTTCTTAGAATTGTTAACCATTCAGCATGGGTAGGGGGATCCTGTTTACGCCACCTTAGTGTAATTGCTTTATTTGCAGCTATTAATAGTATTTGTAGGAGATACATCCTTTTCCTGCTGTAAATTGCATCCGGTTTCATCCCAAGAATTGCTATCAGAGGGTCTCTTACCAGTTTTACATCTAATATTTTGTTCACAGTGGTAAAGATTGATTTCCAAAAATGATCTAACAGTGGACATTGCCAAAATATATGTAAATGAGTTGCTATGGTCTCTCCACATCCCCTCCAGCACATACTTGTCTGATTTGAATTCATCTTTGCTACACTTCTAAAAAATCTGTTGACTAACTTCCATTGAAACTCCCGCCACAAATTGGCATTAGTAACTGTATGTATCTGAGCACAGATCTTTAGCCACTGATCCTCACTAATTTCATAATGCAGTGTTCTGTTGGGAAACCTTGGGCTCCGACATTTATGTGGATGCCACCTGACACGTTCCACCCACCTAAACACCAGTGCAGACCAAGTACCCCCCCTTATGGCAGCAGCACTCCCCAGTAGCAGTGCCCCCCAGCAGGACAATGCGCCACGCCACGCCACACCACACCACACCACACCACACCACAAAAATTGCTCAGGAGTGGCCTGAGGAACATGACAGAGACCTCAAGGCATTGACCTGGCCTCCAAATGCCCCAAATCCCAGTCTGATTGAACATCTTTGGGACGTGCTGTTACCCCACCTCTCAACCCACAGGACCCAATGCCCTGGTGCCAGACACTATAGGACACCCCCCCAGAGGTCCTGTGTTCATGCCTTGACAGGTCAGAGCCAAGTCCAGTCCAAGGAGGACCCACCGTGAATCGGGCATACCTCTGCACGTCCCGTCAAATGTTCAATCAGATTGGGATCTGAGGTATTTGGAGGCAAAGTCAACACCTTGAGCTCTTTGTCCTGTTCCTGGGGTCATTCCTGAGCAGTTTTCGTGGTGTGGTGTGGTGTGGTGCATTGTCCTGCTGGGGGGACACTGCCATCGTCAGGTGCCATTGCCACGGGGGTTTACTTGGTCTGCAACCGTTCGGGTGGGTGGAGCGCATCAGGTAGCATTTACATGAATGCCAGGACCCAAGGTTTCCCAGCAGATCATTGCACTGTAACAAGATGATCAATGTTATTCACTTCACCTGTCAGTGGTTTTAATGTTTTGGCTGATCAGTGTGTGTTACTGTTATGAACTGGTCGAAAGAAGGTTTTGAACATTATAGGATGGCCATGGATGGAAAGACATGAATACCATTAAGGAACACAGTGTTTTGCTGCATTATCAACATGTAAAATACATAAAATACTTTTTTTTAAACCCATCTGAACACCATTTGTCATTTGAGCCATCATTCCGGTAATTTTAACAATGTTGTGTATGTAAGCAAGAATAAAAAAAGCTCCACATGTATCATGCTGGCAAATGGCAGCATTCTTTGTTTGAAACCACTGATGATGTAATGTTGGTTTTTTGCAGATCAGGACGAGTGTAAGTTCAATAACGGAGGCTGCTCTCATGTGTGTTTGGACCAGCCGCTGGGTTTCCTCTGCGACTGCCCCGACAACATGAGGCTGGTCGGGGACAGCCAGTGTGAGGGTGAGTACAAGCTTCCATAAGTTTCACTAGTTAATTATTTGTCCTGACTAATCGCACAAAATGACCTTAATATGTCGACCATTTTTATTATGAAGCACTGGGAACTGGACTTTGACGTACACTGTTTTTAATACTACACTCTTAAAACTTCTTTTCAAATTTTCTTTCACCTAGAGATCGACACGTGCCTGGAGAGCGACGTGTGTGATCAGCTGTGTGTTCACATCAACGGCAGCCTCACCTGCGACTGCCACGAGGACTACCAGATGAATTCAGCAACCGGGGAGTGCAAGGCCAAAGGTGAGAGAGAAATTATCAGTGCACCTGGTAAACACAAGCAGCCACCAACAACACAAAGCTTGTTGAACTTACCTCAGAGTTCCTGGTTTGATTCCAGGATCTTCCTGCTTGTATTTGTTGTATTTGTAGGGTGGAAGGATGAAAAGGATGGAGGAGGAATTTTTCAGTCAGAATTGCTTTTAAAAACTGGAGGTTGTGTGTGTATAATGGGAGGAGGCCCAGATTAAGTCTGAAGTGCCTGCGATTAAAGCTATTGAAAAGAACCACGAGGCTCACAAGGCCCATGCAAACCTGTCAACAATGAGGCAGCATGACCTTTTTATTTCTTTGTATTTTATTACTCTGCTGTAATGAAGACTACACTGAGGATGAGGCAGCCTGGACAGGACACCATTTTATCACAGGAGTAACACATTGAAGGTGCAGACGGTGACATTTTTTGTCAGATTCGATTAGTATCTCCACAAGGTTGGCCTGCTCTCCCTTCTCTGTGTGCCCTGGAAAAAAATCAAGTGCTCATATGCAGCCCTGGCTCTGTGTAAGGGAAACAAACAAAGTGGCTCGGACTGAGCCCAACAACACCGTTCCAGCCAACTAGCACTAGCATGCTCGTGACAGAACAAGAACAGCACAGGACAGTGGAATGGCCACAGATGTGTAAAGAGAGGCTGTTGGGGTGAGAGCTTGCAATGATTAAGAGTAGCTTAACGGCATGATGTGTAGTATTACCACCATTTTTTTGTTGTTTTTGCAAATTATTTCTTATATTCTAATTTTAGTACCTCATTAAAAAACTGCATTGTTAGGCTATTATGAGGTATATTGTTGATTTCTAAATGACAAAGGGGACAGTTTTATAACAAATTAAATAATTTTTCGTTGCGTCTGGTTGCTATGATGCAGAATATATGTGGAAGTAAACCCGTCTGCACAGGGTAATGTACCCCAATTTGAATAGTTTTCAATTCTCTGCGAGCAGGACAAAAAAATGCAAATATAGGCGCTCAGCGCAGACTCAATGCTCAGCGCCTCATCACACTGCTGGTATTTGTAGCAGAGTGCAAATACGAGTCGTTCCCATGGAAAAAACATGAACATGGTGGTAATCAATCGATCAATCATTCAAATAAACATTTTATCAACATAAAACAAAATAAAACTCACAAAATAATCTCTTGGTTCATCAGTGAATAATTGCTAACTCTAACCCTTAATTTTCAAGACTGCATTCAAGTATCCAGGCCACTTAAAAACATTCAACAGATACAGTAAGATTAAAATGAGAGAAAGAATCTGGTCTTGACATTTCAGAGGAGGACTGGTTGAATATGTGCTCTGTGCAGTCTTCCTCAACTAGCTCCGGCCTTTGGAGAGAATTCTGTTGGCGTAATGTAATCAGATATTTTGTTACTCCAAAGTTAAAAGGTGCACAGGCAGGTGATTGGGGCAGGGGGCTGTGTTGGAGGAAATGCAGGGAACAGCTTGCAGATCATTTTCATATATTCTGGAGCTGCCCAGCCATTTGGTCATACTGGTAGGAGGTAACACAAGTAATACGGAGCATTTTTGGTGATGTAATTGACTGTTCTTTTTCCACTATATACTTGGGAAATATTGCACCTCGTCTATTGGCATGAGACAAATATTTACTGAAGATATTATTAGCAACCAGTAAGAAAGCTGTAACGCGAAGGTGGCTGCAGCCCGAGCCTCCAACAAAGACCAACTGGGTGGGCATTATGACAGTAGTCCAAACGATGGAGAGAATAACCTTTTTACTGAATCAACAGACTGACAAATTCTTGAAATTTTGGGAAAAGTGGATTGTGTACACGTCGGATTGTTGATCTGCCCCTGTAAATGACATGTATTCCCATCAATGTCTTATCTATGAAATTACATAGGTGACCAAAGCTTTTGTTCTATGTTGTAATGTTTTTATATCTTGAAAATAAAAATAAAGTACAAAAAAAGAAGTAAACCCTTAATTCACCCCCTTCTGCTGCACCTAATATACCTAAACCATTCTGCATTAGAATTTTTACACAACTGAAATCATTTATACTACACATGTCCCTTGATGTGTCTCATAACATGAGGAGTAGAGCGCCTGGTTTGAAGGGTTGGTTTTCATACCGGTGCAAGCTCTACTAGAAATAATGCAGTCATGAGTTCCCTAGAATACATGTTTGACCACGACTTTTGTAATTCATCAGTGGCATGTTTGTTCAGGTTTGAGCTCTGATGTTTGATCAGTACACTCACTAATGGCGCGGCTCCACCTTAATAAACTTTGACTCATTTACCGTGGAGGTGACTGTACAAACACATTAACTAACATCAGTCAGTCCAATGGAGACGTGTTAAGTGGACAAGCCTCTAGACAGCGCTCAGGAGTGGACTGCTTCTTTAGTGATCTGATGTTGAGTGATGTCCTTTCTGTTGTGTTAGAAACATTACAGTCGAGTTATGTGTTGTTGACCTTTCCTGATAACGTGTCGAAATGATGCTAGAACACGAAACTGAAATTTTCCACATAGAAACTGATAACATCACAGTTTTACTTCAGTGTGGTCCCTCATGCTCACTGATGCGTTACTTGACACTGACATGGCAAACATTTTCCACTTTGAATATTTCCACATACATATACTGGCCACTTTATTAGGTACACCTTGCCAGTACTGGGTTGGACCCCTTTTGCCTTCAGAACTGCCTTAATTCTTGGTGGCATAGATTCAACAAGGTGCTGGAAACATTCCTCAGATTTTGGTCCATATTGACATGATAGCATCACACATTCCAGAGGTGCTCTATTGGATTGAGATCTGGTGACTGTGGAGGCCATTGGAGTACAGTGAACTCATTGTCATGTTCAAGAAACCAGTTTGAGATGATTTGAGCTATGTGACATGGTGCGTTATCCTGCTGGAAGTAGCCATCAGAAGATGAGTACACTGTGGTCATAAAGGGATGGACACGGTCAGCAACAATACTCAGGTAGGCTGTGGTGTTTAAACCAAGCTCAGCTGGTACTAAGGGGCCCAAAGTGTGCCAAGAAAATATCCCCCACACCACCATTACACCACCACCACCAGCCTGAACTGTTGATACAAGGCAGGATGGATCCATGCTTTCATGTTGTTTACGCCAAATTCTGACCCTACCATCTGAATGTGGCAGCAGAAATCCAGACTCATCAGACCAGGCAACGTTTTTCCAATCTTCTATTGTCCAGTTTTGGTGAGTCTGTGTGAACTTCAGTTTCCTGTTGTTAGCTGACAGGAGTGGCACCTGGTGTGGTCTTTTGCTGCTGTAGCCCATCTGCTTCAAGGTTCAACGTGTTGTTGGTTCAGAGATGGTCTTCTGCAGACCTTGGTTGTAACCAGTGGTTATCTGAGTTACTGTTGTCTTTCTATCATCTTGAACCAGTCTGCCCATTCTCCTCTGACCTCTGGCATCAACAAGGCATTTTCTCCCAGAGAACTGCCGCTCACTGGATATTTTCTGTTTGTCAGACCATCCTCTGTAAACCCTAGAGATGGTTGTGTGTGAAAATCCCAGTAGATCAGCAGTTTCTAAAATACTCAAATCAGCCTGCCTGGCACCAACAACCATGCCACATTCAAAGTCACTTAAATCAACTTTCTTCCCCATTCTGATGCTCGGTTTGAACTTCAGCTGGTCGTCTTGACCGTGTCTACATGCCTAAATGCATTGAGTTGCTGCCAGGTGATTGGCTGACGAACTATTTGCATCAACAAGCAGTTAAACAGGTGCACCTAATAAAGTTGTCAGTGTATTTTAGCTGCTTTACTTTTCAAAACAACATGCCTCCTTGCCTCTTGGTATACAGATGATGTTATTTGATAGCTTGGAGACAAAGGGCACTTAGCCAAAACAAGCAAGGCTTTGAATTTCAAATCAGCGCTGGACATCTTGATTTAATTGTAAATCTGTGACTGTGTTTATGTCCTTCCAGGGGATGAGGCTCAACTGGTTTTCACCTCATCTAAAGGAATTCAGTTGAAAAACATGACTGGCACTGAGTACAGGGAAACGGCTCCACATATACCAGGACCAGGGCCAGTTGCAGCTTTGGCCTCTAACCGATCACTCTACTGGGCCCGACAAGGACGAGGCTCCGTATACAGGTAACCGAGTGGAGCTGTTGCCACCACACATCACTCTAGTATATTACCTTCCAAAGCCCAAACAGTGCTCGAGGACTGTGATGCAGCTGTCGCATTTCTCAGGAATTTTTAAGGAATTTTTCACCCCCCAGAAAAAAACAGCTACCATTTGTATGTCGGTCAGTCATGTGGTGTTACCTTGAATTTATGAAGGAAACTTTTTCTCACATGCCTCCACAGAAAATGGCGAACATATTGATTTATTGGGGACTACATTTAACAACAGCAAAACTATATCTTAGCATCCAACAACTCGTGCAGACCAATCCACGTCTTATGTATCCTGTCATATGTTCAGTGCTCCCTAAACACATGCATTTTCACTAAACATTCTTAGTAGTGGAGTTTAGCTTTAACGAGAGCATAGATAAGTTTCACTGTCAGGGGGGACTTATGTCTTTGTCAACCTGTTTTACACAAGCGGCACGTTTTTCGATATTGCCCAACATCATAGTTTGTTTTCATTCCCCCTCGCCCCATTCCTAATACCCCGGCAAAACCAGTATGTTAGCATGGCTACACATCAGTGTGCACTTTAATTGATGTTAGATTCAGGCGTTCACACTGATCTGTAGTGATTGGTTAAAGTAAATTGAATCCCTGTTCCCCAGGGAAATCAGCCTGAGTGGATGCAATGACAGACTAAGGATGGAAACAGAGTTTAACGAGTTGACAGTTCTGTCTGATATCGTGCAATTTCTCACCACTCATCTGAGTCTGGATCGCTGTGGCAGGAGGATAAGCATGATAACCCAAACATCCTTTTCTCTCCACCTTTATCCAGCTCTTCGTAGGGCATCCAAAACTTTCTCCTGGGCGGATGCAGTATGTAATCTCCTCTGGGGTCCTCTGGGGTGTTTTGATAGCTGGACAATGGCGTACATGATATCTCCACAGGGGACATTTATTTACTTTATTTATATTTTTTTGGTTAGTTTATTCGACATGGGCAATCAGTATTGACCAACAGAAAAAATATGAATGAGCCAGAGTCTGATGTTCCCGGCCAGATGTTAAAAGGCCCCAAAAAAGAGCATAAGACAACACATCTTATAAAATACATATACAGCACAATAAATATGCACATAATAGTACAATACACATCCACCAATAAAAAAGAAGTAAAAGAACAGGATTAACAGATCAAGACAGACAACGAGAAGAGAAGTAATATCCTGATAACTTGTTTGATTTTAAATGAGCCACAGTTTTAATGGACCAATAAAGGCACGGAAAAGTGTTTGAGCACTGGAATAAACTCCATTATTCTGACACTGTTATGAAAGATTTTGACTGACTGACAGTATTTCTTGTAGGCATCTAGGAAACACTCCGAACAGATGCCCAAACCTCCTCAGCTGGTCCCTAAATTTGTTTCCTGTTCTACATATCTACCAAGTTTAGTAAAAATCGATATGGCGGTTAGGCCTAGATAAGAAATTAGCTCTCTAGCTAGATGAGATATTACTGGTGTTTCTGAAGGAACACATACGGGAGGGTGTATTTGTTTGGAGGTAGAGTTCAATTATCAAAAATCTCTCTCCAGATTTGCTGACTCTAACTTTAAATTGTTAAGATTAATGACTTCACTCCTCCCTCTATTATTCTGTCTGCGATACTGACGTATAAAAAGCTTTCAGACTAGGTATCTATCTCATCTTATAATCGGAGCTCCTATACAAAGAATCAGGAACTCCTGTTTCTTTGTACCTTATTGTACTCTTTATATGTGGCTGCTAATTGGTTTATGATAAGAATTTAAAAGCTGTGTGGTAATCCTGCTAACAGAGTGTCTCTGACAACTTGAGATTAATCAAAGTGACATTACCAGAAGTTGTCTTTGTCATGACAAGTTGACATTAAATTTGTTTGGGATGTCCTTATAATGACAACTTGACATTAACCAGGATGACATTAACCAGAAGATGTCTTTATGTTAATGTCAAGTTGTCATAATAAGGACATCCCAAACAAATTTAATGTCAACTTGTCATGACAAAGACAACTTCTGGTAATGTCACTTTAATTAATGTCAAGTTGTCATAATCAAGACAACCCAAACAATGTCAACTTGTCATTACAAAAAACGAATTACACTTAATGACAGCAGGCACAAAGGTTTATGACATGTACATAATGTTTATGACAAGTTCATGACGGTGTCATGTCATAGTTATGACAGTGTCATGACTCATGTCACCCTTATGTAGATACCTTCAAGTATTGTGTGTTACCGAAAGTGTTTATGTTCAAAGGATGAACGAGACACAGATTACCATCATCAGACACACCATAACGTCGGTCTGTCAACAGGAAATTAATCACTGACAGTTTTCACATTTGATGTCCCTGAGGCTGTTGTTGTCCTGGTGTTGAATTTTTTTTATTTATTTTATTTATTTATTTTTTTTAGTTTTTTTTTTTTTCAGTTTAAGAGAAAACATACCGTCCAACAAGCCCTCGCATGTTGACCATTGGGGCTAATAGAGCATCCTGAAACTCAAATTGTTTGTCAAAAATAAACAGTTCATCAATTAGTAAACGGATGCGTTTGATCCTCACCAATTATCTATTTACGTCTTACCCGAGATGTTTAACACCACAGCCATGCTAGCAGCTCTTGGAGTTTGTAAATGGGCACAGTGGGGCTTTGAGCTAAATGCTAATATTAACATGCTAACGTTTAGCAGGTATAATGTTTATCATGTCCACCATCATTGTTTAGGGTGTTAGCATGCTGAAATCTTCGTCTTTTTGTTTTTTTTCTAGGTTTATGTCCATAAATCAAAGCATTGCGCATTTAAATTTTTTACCTCATGATGGCACTGGAGGAAAAGTCAGAGGATCACCAAAATCACCAGGCTTCATCCTCTGTCAAACATGAATATCTGTAGAAAACGTCATGTCAATCCATCCAATAACCACTGAGAGATTTCAGTCCGGACCAAAGTGATGAACAGTCTGTTCAGCACTGCCATCCCTGGAGCCACTACCATAGTAGCACCAACCATAGTACTTGGGTTGCATTTTGCTCTGATTTTTCCTGCTTTGATAATGCTACTAGGAAGAGATGAATGAACCCACTGAAGGATGCAGCCTTGCATCGTCATAGTCGGGATTTGGATGGATTGGGTGAAACGTAACTTTGACTAAACACCATGTTTGTTGTATCAGTTATACACTGTGTTCCTTTCACCCCTCGATGTGTGTCAGGGTCTCCATGGATGGAAAACCACAGGATTCGGTGTTGTTGCTGAAAGTTCAAGATTCAGTGTCGGGCCTGGCGGTGGACTGGATCCACCACCTCCTCTACTGGACCAGTTTGGAGAGCGGGTCTGTTAATGTTGGCCTGCTGGACGGTTCAGCTCAGCGTCAGCTTATTACAGGACTGGACAAACCTTCTGCAGTGGCTGTGGATCCTCTCCAAGGGTAGGAGGACCCAGGCGTTTACAATTTATGAGTCTATTCATGTCAGCAGGACTGTTTGAATCTAGCTGTGATGATGTTGCATCACAAGCTTCAAATGACAGATAATGTTTCATTGTTGAATACCCCAAAGTATAACGCTTACACAGACAGTTCTTCAGGACTTTTATGGCGTCATCAGAGCACATGAGGGCCATATAGCAGAAACATAAGCATGTTTGTTTGACATGGCCAGAATACACTGGTAAAATCTAGATGTTTGTCCTGAAGATCTGCATGTGTGCCTCCTTTTTACCTTTTGAGTATTCAACGTGGAACCTGGAACTTTGGGTTAGCGCCACAAACAAATGATGGGAAGGCACTTCCTCTCAAAGAGTTCATACAACAGATAATATTTGTTTTCAAAGCTGTTCCCCAGGTTTTTATTAGCATAACACCACTTAACGTAAGAGGTGGTTAAACACACAAATCTTATCTCCGCAAGGCGTAAACCTGGAGGAGATCATATATTTGGTCATGTGTGTATGTATTGTCTGTCTGCAGCTAATCACGCATACTACCAGAACCAATCAGCCTCATATCTTGTGTGCACATTTATGACTGTATGCTCAATGACCTCTTGTGGTCGCGGTGATTCACAATTGTTGAAAAACCTGTTTTTATTGACTGTTTTACACCATCATTGACTGCTGACTGCTGACCTCTCACTCCTCGTAACCAGCCGGTAGGGGCTGCAAGTCATCAACAAAGTCAAATAGCAACTTTTACACAAGGCTGTGTCCTTGCTGCAGTGGCCCTAAGATTCAATGGCCCTTTGCTGCATGTCATTCCCCCTCCCTCTCTCCCTTTCACACTATAGCTGTCCTATCAAATATTTAAAAAAACAAAACAAAATAATGCCAGCTGTACAATGAAGTTACCTGCACATTTTTCGGTTCAAATATTGCCTATTGTCTTTTTTTCTCAATCTGTCGTCTTTTTTGCTCAGCTATATTTTGGTCCCACTACATGGGTTTATGTTAGCGAAAGACATCGGAACTTACAGAAGAACATTTGAACACTGGATGAAGCAAGAATCTTGTCCCCCAAAACCACTGTTGCAATTCTCATCAGCTGCTTCTGTTCTCTCAGATTTCTCTTCTGGACTCAGTGTGGTAACTCCCCAAAGATTGAGAGAGCTAGTTTGGATGGTTGGGACAGGAGAGCTCTGGTCATTTCCTCAATTCGTCATCCTGTTGCTCTCTCTCTGGGTACGTTCTCACATTTCACAGAGACAAAGATGGAGTGAGTTTTTTATCTTTGTTGAACTTCCTGAAAGCAGGGTCTCTGAAGGTCCTTTAAAAACTCTTAAAGCATCTTCAGTTTTATTATTATTAGGCTTTCAAAGGCCTTGAATATTGTTAATTTTGAATTTGTGAGGTCTTAAGTGCCACAAACTTGTCTGCCTGTTGGCAAAATGTAGATTAACCTAACTCACTTTAATAGCCATATTCCCATATAAAACCAACCTCTGCACAGGACAACATATACACTACTTACCTTTATACTTAACATGCAACACTTGAGTAAAAAATAGATTGTTGGTCCAAAAATTTGTCTTAAGTTTTGTTAGAAAATATTTTGAAAAGGTCTTCAAACATCTGATACCTGTAGACACCTTGAGAAAGAGTTAAAATCTCATTTATAGTCGAATCTTGGTGGATTGTTTGGACTAGAAGAGAGAAGTTTAAAGAAGGGGGAAAACCTCAGCTTCCACTTTAAAATGGGAAGAGTGTGTGTGTGTGTGTGTGTGTGTGTGTGTGTGTGCATTGTGTATGCATTTCCGCAGAGGTCAGACAGTGTTGCTTAATATTGCCACTCATTTTTGAGAGTCATGCTTTCATGTGACCTTGTTCCTAGATATGCCTCGTCAGCTGCTGTACTGGGTGGATCAGGGAATGAGAAGCATCTCCAGAGTAAATCTGGATGGCCGTCACCGTAAAACAGTGATAGAGTCGAACGGTTATCTGGACCGTCCATTTGGACTGGCTGTGTTCGAGGTAAATAAAAAAATAAGAAAATAAAAACATTTCAAATTCCATGAGGCCTGCATGTAAAATTGACCAGTGATGCTGGCAAATGAAACTTGCATTTACCTCAAAGATTTGCTGTCTTTCAAATAAAGGGGTTTCACAACATAGTTTGCTGATCTGGCAGGTAGTCAGAACGGTCAGCTGGCTGACTTTGAGCTGCTTCAGCTGCTAACTGAAGGTCCGTCTCCGGAGCTGCTGCCTGCTCTCCTCCCAGCGAAATGGTCTCCTAGCAGCAGGGACTGAGGCGTAGGGAAAACCTCAGCGTGGGTGGTCTGATCCTGGACTGCTCCGACTACCTTCCAGATGAGCAAACTTAGAGGATAATAATATTAATAATAATGCATACATTACATTAAAATAAGAAGAAGAAAGGAAAAATATCTATTTAAAAGATAAAAATAGCAAATAGGGTATAAGGACTATAACCCAGTAGATGTGCTTTGTCATTAAGGGAAGCCCAGGCACCAATGTTTGACTGTGGCATCTCCATATAGATTATATCCAATAGGGATTGTAGCCATTGATTTTGGGAGAGAGAATAAGGAGGCTGCCAGCAAACTGCTGACATTTTTGTTTGCTGATATAAGGCCAACAAGAAGTGCAAGCTCCTGATGTGACAAGAGATCTAAAAAGGAGGTATCTTTCAATAGGAGACAACATGGCACTTGAATATTAAGTAAATTGGTTAAGGCTGCGGATACCATTTTCCAAAAACATACTACCCAGGGCAAGTCCACTATATGTGCAGAAAAGACCCTGTGTCACCATTAGGGCAGAGCTTGTGCCCCGATCAGAAAACTTTCTGTTGCTGCCGTCACACAGGTAAGACCTGGCGCTGCTGCTGGCCATCAGCCTGCAGCTTCAAACCGTTTTCTCCTGTTTTCTCGTTTCTGCCACTGTCTGTTTTGGTTTTGCATCTATAATTTAGAGGAGGACCAGAGTTCTGTGAATCTGTATTCAATTACTCTTCTTCAGCAAACAGATGCGTGTCTCATTAAACTGAAACTGAATTCTGAGAACTGAATGTGGATGTATGTTATGTATGTATGTATGTATGTATGTATGTATGTATGTATGTATGTGTGTGTGTATGTACCGCACTATGTGTGTATGTGAATTTTTATAGAGTTGTAGAGGTGGATACAAATACAGGAGCATTTTCAAGTTACAGCTGGTACGCAGGCAAGAAAAATAACAAGATGGATGGAATCAAATTTGTTATAAATTAGTGAGAGGTGACCAGATGATGGAGTGTGGTTCTGTTGCAGTGTTTATGACAGAGGGGGATGCATTTTCCAGAGATGTAATCTACAAGTAAATTTTTTTTCCTGTGTGTGTTACATTCCTTGATTTCCTGTTCGTGAGGATAGTTTTCTAAACTCAGCCTCCAGCTGATGCTCTAATCTTTGCAATTAAAACCATTCTGTTCTGAATTCTGCTTCAGGGTTTTGTGTATTGGAGTGAAGAAGTGACGCAATCCATCTGCCGAGCCAACAAACACAACGGTGGCAACTTCCAAGTACTCCTGTCAAACGTCACTTCACCGGGTGGTGTGGTTATCATTCAGCCTGTTCTCCAACCAAAGGGTATGACCAGTGAAATAAATTTAACACATGCTGTATGTCTGTGTGGTGATTTGGGGGTCTAAAGTTGTATTTTAGTAAGAAGGTCAGGGGTTCCTTCAAGTGTAGACTGAGAAAAATGGATACCCAGTTGGAGCTGCTGGCCTTTGACCTTTTCATCACAGTAACCTTGCAGTTGCCGATTCCTCTCACCTGAATGTACTTTCGCCTTGTTCTTAGGGCCATCTGTATGCGGACATACCAGGACAGTGTGCCAGCACGAGTGCATAGTCAACCTACTGTCTAAGAGTCCAGAGTTCAGCTGCACTCCTCCAGAAAAAGGACAAAAAAAATCTCAAGAAATTCCTGCCATTTCCCGCAGAGTTCCTGCACCAAGTGTATCTGACCCTGCGTTTGCTGGGATCCTCTCTGTTATCAGTAAGAAACTTTTTATCTCCTAAAATGGCACAGAAAGGCACTATTGTTAAAAATAGCCAATGTTTTTGTCACACAGCGAGGGTAGATACAAGTCTGCCAAATGAAATGGTGAAACAAAAATGTAGGGGCACTTTGGCATTTGTTACTGGCACGTTTTTGCTGTAACCATGACTCATAATCAAATATTGATTGTAGAAGATAAATACTGATGTAGTTTTGTCCTCAGATTATCTTTTTAGTTGCAGTTTCCCAGCTGCATTAGTTTGATGTAACTTAACTTTTTGTGCTGTGAGACAGAGAATATAGCAACGTGACGCCACCGCACACTGACGTTGACATGGTCACTCCCTGCTGAGTCATGAACATGCAACAGTCAGCTTCTGTTATCATGAATTCTCATGGGTAAAGGGTTGTTGAGCAACTGCTTCCACATACAGATTTTTTTAACAAGTCAGGCACATTTATAAAGACCATGAAAGTATAAATTGTATCATAATTTATGCTTATTTTCAGGTCCATACTTGTATTTTGGGTTTCATCTAGAACATTTTTACATGCTTCAATGTTCAAGAAACACTTTATTTTCCTCATGCTGTCTGTGCAGTAACACCTAATGTAATGCTCTGTCTTAGCTGGGTGTGGGTCTCCCACATTTGCGCTCAGCGTCTCCTCATCATCATTGCAGCCAGGAATGACTGTACTGGCACGTTTTACATCTATAGACCGTTTCCCAGGAATTGCATTGCTAGGCAACAGCTTGAGTCCATATTTACTTCCTGTCAGTTGATGCTGTTCACATAGGCAGAATCCAAGAATGTGTCTCAATTTAGGGGCTGCAGCCTTCGAAGGCTGCATTTGAAGACCGATCGGCGAAACCCAGGCTGTCCCATTTGGAAGGTCCTTTTTTAAATGCGGCCGAGAAATGCAGCCCTCTTTCCCAGAATTTGGAGGATGCCACAGATGAATCCTTCGTGGCCCAGCAGGTTCACAATATGCATTGCGTGCTGGTGACAATCTTAATTTAATAAGTTTACCTGAATACAGTCCTCCATCAGCCTGAAATATATCAAACAGCGGCATCTCCAGCGGTTTATCATCTCAAGTATTAAATAACAAATATATATAATAACTCTGGGTCCATGATTTAGGGCTAACTAACTTACTAGCCGATGCCTTCTTTTATCAAGTACAGCTGGTTGCTAAGTAACAGGAAAGCCAATGGGTCGGGGCGAGAACAACTGGTGATACAACCAGGAAATCCTCCGCAGACCAGACCGTTTGGTTTTGTTGATGTGGTCTTCAAAGGATGTGGCCGATGTCGATCGCGAAGGCCGTGTCCTTCAAAGGCTGCAGCCTTCTAATTGAGACACAGCTCAAATGTCCAGACTTGACCGCACTTGCAGTGTTTGCGAGTGCGTTCTCAGGATGTCTGGGGGTACTTAGGGCTGTCCAAATCCACAAGTCAACCAGTCCACAAGGGTGCTAAAGTGGACTTTCTGCAGACTTCCAGGGAGTCCACTTGGGGTGCAGACTTTAGCAGACTTCATTGTTTTAATAACCCACAATTCATTGCAATACGGACATGAGGTTGGGATTTTCTCAATTGCCAAAAAAACAAAACAATGAATGTGTAAAATAGTTAGGCCAAATAAAATGCTACTTGAATTGTGTAGGCCAGAAGTAATATTCAACCACATCATGATACAGAGATATGTACAAGTCTAGGCTGTAGAGGGACTGAAATGGCATTTTATTATTGCAGCCTATCAGACTGTGCAGTGAAATAGGCTTAACAAAAATGTCCGAAAAACAACAAACAGAAGGTCTTCTTATGTAAGTAATACCAGATTTATTGAGTTATAGTCCTGTCCTGTTTTTGAACGTGTGTAGCCTGTATGTTTTATAGAGATGTATTAATAGCCTGCATTTATGTTCAGTCACAAAAAAGCCTGTACATGACATGTACATCTTGTTATCTGCAGGGACAGATGAGTAGGCACTGTTCATCAACTTATATGACATAATTATTAATATGACAGCAGCGATAGTTGATCGTTTCCACGGCAGTGCATAAAACAGTCTTGAGTGCTGTCTATCAGCCGCTTGCCGTCTCTGCCCTCACAGACTTTATGTGATGACAGTAAATGCATCACACTACCTACAACTGAAGTCTGCGAGGGCTCAGTCCACAAGTCCAGAGGGTGGACATTTGGATTCAGTTACACTGTAAAACATTCCAACAGGAAATAGAAAGGGACCCATCTTACTATATAATGACAAAAACTCTGTCTGTCTGTGTGTCTGTTCCATGTTTTTCTCCTCACTGACTTGGTCAATCCATGTGAAATTTGGCACAGTGGTAGAGGGTCATGGGAGGATGCCAATGAAGCAATTTTACATCAATTGGCCAAAGGGGGGCGCTATAGCAACCAATTGAAATTGCAAACTTTGAATGGGCATATCTCATGCCCTGTATGTTGTAGAGACATGAAACTTTGCACAGAGATGCCTCTCCTCATGAGGAATAAATTTGCCACAAGAACCCGTAACTTCTGGTTGTATAGATTTTCCGCCATCTTAAATTTTTTGAAAAACCCTTAAAATCGATCTCTTCCTAGGAAGTTTGACTGATCTGCATGAAACTCTGTGAACATAATCTAGGGACCAATATCTAAAGTTCCCTCTTGGCAAAAGTTGGAAAACTTACTAAAACTGAGCTTCTATAAGGCAATGAATATTGCGGAGGGCGTGGCTCATCACATAAAGGTGTATAACATGTCAAGGGTTTCACCGATCACCACGCAACTTTGTAGGCATATGACCACACATAATCTGAGGGGACCCCTCCATTATTGACCCCATCAAACAAAATGGGGGCGCTAGAGAGCTAATTTCTTATCTAGGCCTAACCGCTATATTGATTTTTACTAAACTTGGTAGATATGTAGAACAGGACGCCTCAAGGTGACTGGAGAAATTTAACTCTAATTGGCAACTGGGTGGCGCTATAACAACAGAAAAATGCTTAAAAATGGCTAAAATGCGACCAATCGCTGTGGCTCCCCCTGTGGCCCAATGTTGTTGTTTTTTTTTTAATTTTTGGTATGACTAAGTCATGGTATGGTATGCTGTACATAATCACGGAAACTGACAGTGTGTCATTCTGTCAGTCAGTCATTCTGTCTGTCCCATGTTTTTCTACTCACTGACGTGGTCAATCTATGTGAAACTGCACATAGGCATTGAGGATTGGCATAGGTAGAAGGTGACTCCAGGAAGGGCCATACACATTTTCTTGTCAGCCACTGTAGTTGTGCTACACACTTGGAGAAGTTTCAGTTCTGCAACCTCAATGCTAGATGCCACTAAATCTTACACACTGGACCTTTTAAGTAGCTCTCTAGCCGCTGAGCTGGAGGACTTAAGGCTTTCACACAGACTTTTATTTGAGACGAATAAACAACACAAATATTTTGCATCAAAATTATTCATAATAGCGGCGATTGCATTCTCTGTAATTGTCATGATGTTGTGATGTGACGTTTGTTCTGCTGTTCTGTTGTTCTAATTTTTGGTATGACTAAGTCATGGTATGGTATGCTGTACTCAGTGGGTATGGACTAGTTTAGAGTGTTTATGTTTGAATTTTGACAGTCTATCACAACCTCACAGAGATCCTAACAGCTCAATTAAAAGCACAGTGTCTGAATATGGACTGTTAATTCTCTGCAGACTGAGTGTCTTGCTACTTTTATAGCACCTTTATCTGCTTTATATCAAAAAAGACATGGAAATTGGACTTTTTACAATACGGGACCTTTTAAAATATTATACTATGTTATACTAATATGTCAATATGTTACAGATTTTTTGTGTCATATTCTGTATTTATATTAAATCTCTATTACTACAGACAGACACCAAGTACCATGACTTAATCATATGATCAGTCTGGTCCACACTGTTAACACAGACCTGCTGACTCTGCTGCTATTATATTATATCTCACACTGCTGTCACTTTAAACACACCACTGTCACTTTACCTGCAGTTTTTGTCTCCTCATGCTCTGTGTAGTTTTTTAATTTGTAGTTTTATTATTATTTTAGTTTTCCATGTACCCATTATAGTTTATTTCTTTTTCTTTAAGTATTTATTCAAATGTCTTGTATGTGCACATACTATACATACTGTAAAGAAGAGGAGCAATGGTTGCAAAAGTTGCCTCATTCAACAGTCTACAAATGTAAATAAAACATGGTGTTTACATTACAAGTCTGTCCACAAACAAACACAGTCCTTAAGATTTTAAAATTTTAAAATAGGACCAGTCTGTGTGTCTTCAGGCTTTTTTTAGTGTGTCAATACGTCCTTGGTTTCAAGCTACATGTGTGTTTACTTACCGAGTTTATCATGTAAAGTGTCTTTGAGTAGCTAGAGAGGCAATAATGTGTTGTCATTATTCTATTTATTTGTCAGGAAAATGTATCCTAAATGTCTGGCAGCTTCTAATGAATCATTGGTGATTCTGATGGACTTAACATATTCACATGTGCGTGTGTGTTTCCCAGTGTTTCTCAGTGTGCTGGTGGTGGGAATGGCTCTGTGGTGGTGGAGAGAGGAGTTCAGTACATCCAGGTCTCTCACTGAGCAGAGCTTCTCCCTCAAAGAGTCCCAGGACCCACTCATCATCCAGGAGCCGCAAGTGGGTCCAAACATATGTCTCGTCAAGGCAAGAAACACACACACACATTTAAAAAAAAAAAAAACCAGTCACAGACATCCTCATTCACCTGCAGAGAGAAGGTACCATTCATTCAGCTGCACATGTGTACACTTGAGATATATATATATATATAACAGTTTTAAAGAGGTGTAGATTTTTCACGTCATGGTTATTTTGGAGGCAGTGTTTATGATGTGACAAACTTTAGACAGAAAGAATAAAAATAGTTTGAGGATCGCACACAGATATGTCCGTCAGCAGATAAAACCAAACTTTAGACAGAACACAACCGACATATTTAACGATGAGAAAAGAAGAGCTCATGATGATGTTTCTAGAATGTCTTTGCTTTCAAAGACCCTGAAAACATATTGTCTCAGCCAGCTTCTTACTATGACACTAAACTTTTTGTCAAAGTTGAAACAGTTGTTTAACATGAGAGAATCACACCTCACCTGCACAGCTGAGATGAAGCAGGTGACTTGAGTTTAAGTGTGTAACTCAAAGTGAATGAAATGAAAGTTTACAGCGTATTTAGCTTCAGTAATGTGACAGGCTACATGTGGACAGGGTTTAGTTTATGAGAGACGTTTAAATTAAATCCTTGACATGTGATTGGATTAGACAGGTGGAGGCAGGTCAAAGTTTTTGTCAGCTGATATCTAAACATACATAATGCTCTACAAGCTGAACACTAGCTAATGGTAAAGTGCGAGTAATTAAAAATATTTCCATTTTTCATTTAATGTAAAAATTATCTTTCTTTTTCATACATATTTAGTATCTCACAAGAGAAGTGAATAATCAACACATGGAAACAGGGTTGAAACTTGGAATAATGTCTTGTATATGACATTTAACTGTGTTATTATATTCTTAATAATGCCCAGTGGTGCTGATTGTTGGACACTGATGACTCTCTAATATTGTAGGGACATATGTAAGTTTTCAGGGGTGCTAAGAAACATTCTGAGGGAAACTCAAAGTAGACAAATGTATAGCTTTTGAACTTTGGCACAAACAATATTTGATATAGGCAGTTTTCTGACAGTGTTATTTAACGAGCAGTCTGTAGAATCCCATCCTGGTTAAAACCAGTGCAGTTATCCCAGTCAGAGGCAAAAAGTCTGCTGTTTTCATCCTTCTATGCTGTAAGGGTTAATGTTAGTGTGGCCATTGTTTCTGCCACAGTGCTTAAAGGGATAGTTCAGATGTTTTGAAGTGGGGTTTATGAGGTACTTATCCAGTGTATTACCTACTGAAGTACAGTAGATGGCAGTCGGAGTGCCCCCACTTTGGAGAAGCAGCAAAACATATTAGCCACCTATAAAAATAAGGCCCACCAAAAAATATAGAGATACTGTATATCTGTGTAGGAGGGTTTTTTAAGGTGGCTAAAATCTACTTTACTGCTGCCCTCATTCACAACAGTAGGTACTCCAGCCTGCCCCAAACTGGGCACATGCAGGTTGCCATCTACTGCGTGTTATACACTGACTATGGTTAAGTAGGCTACCTCACACAACCCACTTTAAAAAGTCTGTGCCTTTTTATCAAAAGCTGCTGCTCCCACAGCCACAGGATCCACAGGTGTTTCCTCCCCAGGAAGTGATGCTTTTCCCAATTTTTGAGTCGGCAGTTCCTCCACTGTGACCATGCTGAGAGTCAAACATCATTCTCAAAATCTATTAAACATGACAGAGATTACATGAAACGGTTGTAAATGAGACTTAACAGAGCAGTCAGTGCTGTTTCATTTTTCACACGTTTTCAAAAAACAAAATGTTGCTTTTTGGGTTCACTGCTTCCTACCTAAAGAAGGCAAAAAAACTCACATTTCAGTAATGACATAAAGCTGTAGAGGAGCTGGAGCACTGCAGGTTCAGGAACAGCAACAACAACTGCAAAAAAATCTGAGACATCCATCAGTCAGGCAAAGATAAGCCTGAACATAAAACCTTTAGTGCTGTAATATGTTCTTAATGAAAGAAAATATTTCAAAAGCACCACCAAAACACTCAGCAAAACACACAGAAACTAAATGAAATTAGTTTTTGACACCTAAAAGAAGACTTAGAGTCAACAGCCATGCTAACACTGGGTCACCGTAGTAGGAAGAATCCATAATCTGGCAACCATGACATGTACAAAATTGTGTCCCAAACCTGCTGGTGGCACTCGAGGGAAGATCAGTTACCAAAGTCATGAGTCACCTACAAGGCAAAATCAGTTGTCTGTTAAAAAAAGTAAATAAATAAAACGTCAGGCAATCATCCAGAAATTGTCAATATATTTCAGTAAAAACCAGAAATATCAACCTGTCAGTGGGTCACCAACATCAGTAGTTTTTGTCCTCTGGAGAACATGAATGTCTTCAAATTTCATGGTGATCCAGCGAATAGTTAATGAGAACTTTTAGACCAAAGTTGTGGACGGACAGACTGACACTGCTTCTGGCATGGTTGAAAATGTCTGTTTCTGGAGTGGAGTCAGTTTACTAGAGTTAGTGTGACAACATCACTGTAGCCAGTGACCCCTACTTTTCCTCTCTTCCTGTCCTCTTTCACATTTCCTGCCTCCGTCTCCTCAAGGGAAGCTTCTGTCAGCAGAGGAGGAGGGGTGAAATGTTTGGAGATGCACCGACTGTGTCAAGCTTTTAAAATGATATTCAGGGGTCTCGTATGCTTATATAGGTCGAGGTCATTGTGAGAAGTGCTGAATCTTCCTCCGTCAAGTCTAATTGACACAAACTTGCTGTGTAAATGCAGCTGTGTTCACAAGGAACAATGATCAACTGAACTGTACCTGCTACATAACTTATATAAGTTGGATGTTTGTAATGACGGAATATTTCAAAGGGGATCATATGTTGTTTATTGGTAATTAGAAAATGATTGCTAGGAGAAAATGACTGGTCGAATGTAGTTCAGTAAATGATAAGAAGTAGAAGTTGTAATACAGAAATGTCATAGGTGAAGTGCTGGTACTTGATAACTGATTCATTGTTGAAGTCATATTTTAATTTAAAAAAAAATAAAAATGCAAGTTCCAACTTTTTAAATGTGAACAGTTAAAATGTTAAGCTCCCTTTTGTTTAAACAGAAACAGTGTCAAAATCACTGTCACCAAACCCACCAGACTCCATTTAAATAAACAGTAATTTTAGCGTGTATAGAGGCAACACACTTTGACATCTGACTTGGTGAGTTAAGGGATTATTTCAGCCAAACCAGAGGTAGTCATTATTGGAACATTAAAAAGGCTGACGAACCAAAATGACTTTTTTAAGTTTTATTTTGTTTTTATCAACTTTGAGTGAACTTTGTTTTACGAGGCAAAAATTACCGTTTATTTGAGTCTAGCGGGTTTTCACGGCTGTTTCTGGTTAAACAAAATCCTACTCTTGAACCAAAAAGTCCATCTCTGTCGAGCATGTCAGAACCTGTTGTGCTCATAAGTCTTTTAGACATGGTACAAATGGTAAAATAAGGGTCCAGGTTAAAAAATACGGAACTTAACCTTTAAGATGTCACTATGAAAATGTGATGAGCAATTAGCTTTCTGCTGACATCCTGTCTGAGTGTCTCAGGAAAATAATCAGCAGATTAATCAATAATGAAATTGATAATAGTTGTAGCCCCCAAGGAGAATTAGTCACCGATGGTCAGCTATTTAACCACCAGAAATTAAGTTAATTTTATGTTCATAATACAGGCTTCTCCACACGTCATATTTTTTTACAGTCCAGGATAATTTGTTATTTTTGGCTGCATTTTTATTTTATTTTATATTTCATTTCATTTAATTTCATTTTTATTTTACTTTATTTTATTTTTATTTTATGTTATATTATTTATTTATTTATTGCATATTTTTTGTAATTGTATTTTTTGTAAAAAATAAATAAATAAATAAATAATGTAAATTTACTGTTAAATTTTTGGTAAGTGTTGTGTTAGTGGTTTATTTTTTAACTGTAAAATGAATGCCCAATTCAGAACATATTGTGATCACCACTAATTTTACTCAGCAAAACTGGATTATATGTTATCTGATGACTAAACTCACAAATAAAAACACTGTAGTAGCTTCAAAAAGCCAATATCAGTTGGACTTTATATTAATTAGCTTCGTTTGATTGAAATGTCTCATAGTTTTTGTTTAAAAAGCACTCTGTAGCATCCCAGATAAACACAACTTGACTGGCACCCATCAGGTCAAAGGCTTATTGTGGTGCAGTATGTCAACTAAGCCGTGTGTTGTTCTGCCGCCAGGAAACTCTGTTTAAGCTGGACTTGGACGGTGAATGAAGAAGGTGCGACACAGATGGCCATGTGATGACCGGGTTTCACCTGGTGCTGTCACACCCCCACAGTGACCTCAGGGCTGACAGGAGGACAAGACAACAAACTCAGCTCAGCAGCCTGTCGTGTCCCAACTCCCTCTGCAGGTTAAAATCCCTCTAGACATGACCCGGTGGTAAATATCAGAGTTCAGACGGGGAAAAGGCTTTACCAACAGTAACTTCTGTTTTCAAGAAGTGTAACTTTCAGCTCTCGTGGCGTCAGAATTCCTGTTTGTTGTTGATGATGATGTTTGTTTATATTGTATTGAACAAGCATAGCTTTGAATCTCAGCACGGATGAACTCGTATATTTTGCCTTATTTTTCAAACCACGTTATCAAGCATTTTCCTCAGCAGGATACGAGTTAGAACTGTAGGTCAGTGGAAATGTCATCTGTTTAACAATTAGTTGATTACTTGCTTAGTCGATCGACAGAAAGTTAATTAGCAACTTTTGATAATTGATTTATCATTTGTCAAAATGCCAAACATTCTGCTTTTATTTTTCCTCTACGACTGTAAACTAAATATCTGGGTTTGTGACAGCTGATGAGACAAAACGAGCACTTAGGAGTTTTTTTCCACTACTTTCAGTAATTTTACAGACCAAACGATTAATCGATTGATTGAAAATAATTACTTGTGGTCCTACTGTAGATTTTTAATTTATTGTGTAGTTGCACTTTCTCTCTCAATGTTTATTTCATCTTATTACAATCAAAACAGTACTTTTGCATTATCAATGATGGTTTTTACTCTCTGTAACATCAGCTGGTGTTCCACTGGTTTGTTCGTGGCCTTCAGGCATGTCACACTCAGTGGCAGTGAGAGAGATGCATTACTGCATTGTCAATTCAAGCTTTGTTCAAAGAGCAGTTTTAAAAAATATTTTAAAACCTCTATTTGCATCAGTCATCTCAAATACACACTGATTTACAACTTTACAGCCGGTATTCTACCAACTAACAATGTCAAAGATGCAACATTTCACTTGAGAGAGAGATGAAAAAACTTGAAGTTCTAAAGTATGCAGATAGAGTGGAGTAAGTTGAGCCGATCACAAGCAGACAGAGAAGTTTGGTGACTTTGGACTGTGAGAGGAACTTCACTCTTCTTCGCCTCTACAGGCTTGTGCTGTCTGATTGGTTGAGAAGTGTGAACCTGTTCTTGCCACAGTCTGGCGATCTCCTCCTTCTCTCCCCACTCCTCCTCTTGTCTCCTTTCCTCCTCCATGAACATACTGAAAGCCTCCTCGTCACTGACCAGCTACTTGTTCTCTTGCCGCTCCTGGGCCCGACGCTGCATTGACAGCTCAAAAGCCTCCACAGCCACTGTAGCCCGACTCTCTTTTTTTTTGGCAGGAAAGGCTCTTTATGAGTGACTGTGTTGGGTCTGGCTTTGAATCCTGCTGCTTCCTCCCATTTCTGTTCTTCTGTCATCTTCTGTTCCCAGCATCTGCTCCTCACAGCTCCTCGTTCATCCAAGAGCAGTCGGAACAGCTCAGGCTTTGTGGGCTCTAGTATCCTATTCTCATGGAGAAGTCTGGCAGTGTCTGGGTCATGAAATGTGGTACCTCTTCATTTCTTTTCCACCTCCAGCCTCTTGTCTTTCAGTGCCATCCTTTCTCGTTCCCTCTCTTCAAAGGAAAAGGGACAGACTTCCACGTGGTGGTTCTGTGGTCGTCGGGGCTGGATAGGGAGGTCATTGATGGGGCTTTGATTTATGAGGGCCGTGTTATTCCAGACAAACTCCCCTTAAGGGCAAAAGCTGAAGGTGTTGCACAACTTTGTTCTTTGGCAAACCCACCACGCCTTCCAGGATCTTTTTGGGCAAAGGCTGAGCTTTAAAGTTATTCAAAGAACAGTTTAATCAGAAAACTTCCCATCAGAAAATTTCCCTTTCTTGCCAAGAGTCAGATGAGAAGATGAATACCACTCTCAGACAATTAGAGTTGTATCGATTTTTCTCATCTAATTCTCTGTAATAAAGTGAATAAGCAGGTTTACTAAGATGTCTAAATATTCCTTTTAATACTCCCAAAACTAATCGGTCTGAAAAAGGGAAACATTTTTAAACGTGTGACTTGTTGGTGGCACTCTGAGAAAAAGTCAGTGGATCACCAAGTTAAGTCAAAGTCCGTAGGGTTCATCCTCTGAGGCCCTTGAATGTCTGTACAGAATGTCATGGTGATGCCGATCGAATGACATTGTAGTCCTGAGACTGTTGAATGTTACCTTTTTTCAGACCAGTTTTGGGAGCTTTGATTCAGTATTTTTCTTTCATATAGTCTGTTATCCTGTCCCTTACTTTACCCACAGTAAATATAGAACAGGATGTGCGCACAACTACCTGTTACATGTACTGTACATATCATAAGATTATTGCACCAATTCAGTGTCTTTATACTGTTTAAAAGTTCATTTAAAGTGGCCTTTTAGAGTTTAATCAATGGATCAATACAGTAAGTTTGATTCTCACAGGGACATCTGCAATAAACACCTGGAATTGTGGCATTGTAGCATCATTTTTAATTAAATCATCTATTAAATAACTATAAGATGCAGATGTCCTCATTGTTAGACTTACACTTTTTACTGAATATTAAATATTAAACTTCTACTGTTTGTTGACTCCATCAGCAAAAGGACATGCAGCACAATCTAGATTTACCCTCTTTTTTTTCTCCTTGAATGTCGGAAGAAATGATCTGACGCTTCAGTGGGAGCAAGTGTTTGATTGTCCTGCCTTGTTTGAATCCTTTTCTGTTTTTTGCGGGGGGGGGGGATTTTGTTATGTCAGTGTCAAAGAACAACAAAATTGGATCTGTTGTATTGAAAAACCCATCAGCATTAATTGGGAGATGATTCTGTAAGTGTGCTCAAACTGCTGAGTTGTGTGGTTGGTATTTATTTTTAAGGAAGGGTTTTATTTATTTTGGGCTGCATTGTAGTAAGCGTGGTACTGTATGTGCAACATGCATCAAGTCTGTAAATGATTCAAATAAAGTATTTTGTTTTCCTACATATGTATGTGGCCATAATTCATTATTACAGATTGAGTCCTCGCCTCTCTACATCTGAGACTATAAAATTTCAGCACGTCACATTAACAGGAGCAGAAGTCTGTAGTTGATTAACCACTGTGTAAACATAATTACTTGAGTGACACAGCAAACGCGGTGTGTTACGTGCTTCAGCACAGGGAAATAATCTGGATCTTTATCAGTTTTCATTTCTGAGACTTACTGCAGTAGGTTGTCTTTGATTAATCATCATTTTGCAGTTTAACAGGTGAAACAATCACAAAAGGTTGTGATAAAAATAATTAATCATCATTCTCTGTCTTTAGTTTTAGTTTCCTTCTCCTGACAATTAAAACAGACTGATATAAAAAATATAGTAAAGATTGTGTCAACCCTTAACTTAAATCCCCCTATTTAGGAGCTACACGCAGGTTAATATGCTAGAATGTAAACCAATACATGTGTTAATGTATTTGTCAACAGCTATAACTCATCCATCCATGAGTGGAGAGGCTGGTGTATAAACAGAAATAAATGACATTATATTAAAATACAGTTGTATCGTTTCATAAACTTATAAATACTGACAAATGCATTAATAAAGACTTAAAAATGTCATCTGCATATAGCTTTATAGTATGTTCTAAACCTTTTAAATGTTTGCATGCTGGTTATAAATGCTAAATAGGGGGACTTAATGCAAGGAGTTAAAAAATGGTGGGAGATAATATGAGATGAAATTATAAACAGTTTGGAGAAACACATTGTCATATGTAAAAAATAAATAGTTTCGGAGCCCCACAGCCTGAAACTTGATTGTGAATCACCTGAGGGCCTCTGCCAGATTGGTTATGACCAAAGACTGAAAGGAATGTCATCGAATTTACAGGTATGGAGTGCTGCGGCACCTTGGTTCCTTCCTCAAAAAGCCTATGGGATTTTTCCATTAGCTTTTGGATTATTGCAAAAAAAATAAGCTCTGTGGCAAACAAAAACAAAAAGTTTATGATACACTTTTTGTTTAGCAAGATAATCCTCACAAAGGAACACCACTTGTATGACTTTTGAAGTGTAAATGTAATCGCCAGAAGTAAAAAGCTAACGTTAGGCTATAAAGAAACTACAGTACAGTCTCATAACTTCAATGCTGCCACCGTCGTGACACACACTGTAGTTTCCTTTAGCAATTTATTAGCAACCATCTTTTTTTAAGACACCTAAGAGCTTCAAAATTCACAAGTGAGGTATTCACTGATGTGGTTTATGTCGCAAAATAAAGCTTGTGTTAACCACAGACCTTATTTAAGGCATCTAACCAAAATTTTCATGGGTTGACCAACCAACTGTCAAAGCAAGCTATGGAGCTGCTGATCATTTGACCTGATGATGGCCCTAGAGGAAATTTCAAGATCACCAAAGTGAATACGCTTCATCCTTAGGGGGACAAGAATGCGTGTCCCAAATGTTGCGCCAATCCGAGTATCTGTTAAGATATTTCACAGGAGAAGTATTGACGTTGACTTGCTGGCACTGGTGTAGTCCCGGGTTTACGCATGTATAAAGGATATACCCACCTCTTTTTCTGGCTATTTACATTATACCAACCTATCGGCCAAAAAGCAACTGGAACATAAAAGGGATTATACCCAGTTACTCCTTGGTAACCTACCAATCTATCTAGGGGCACACCTGCCTCATCAACTACCACTACACCTACTGGTGACACTGCAGGAAGTCACGGGATCACCAAAGTCAGCAGGATGTATCCTCTCAGCATTGTGTATATCTAGCAAATTTTACAGCAATCCATCCAGTAGTTGTTGAGATATTTGACTCGGGACTAAAATGGTGACAGATTGGTATTGCCATGCTGGTAGCTAAGAATGCATCACAGTAATGAAGCCTGGGGCAGATAAAAGCACGGACCACATGCAAAGCTGTAATTTGGGTGAACCATAAGTTTGTCTCGCAAATTAGAACAAAAGATTTTTGTTGAGGTAGATGGCAGGGCTGTGGCATTCAGTGTTTAGTTGTGACCTGATAGTCATTTCATCTTTGTTTAGAGTTTGTGAGTAAGACCATTTAATGTATTGCTATTTTTAAATCCAGTTGAACAGAAAACTGTTGTGGATCTACATAAATGTACTAAAGCATGTCTTTGATAAAAAGAAAATCTAAAATCTGATCACTGTTACATCTTAATGCTGAAAAAGAGAACAAAACAAAATAAACTGATTTATCCAGCTGGTTCTTCATGTGAAACAGATGTCAGAGACCCAACACTGTGGACAAGATGAACACAGATAAGGTCATCATCATAAATAGCATCTTATCTTGACATTTTCAGCCTGATTGAAGAATTTTCAGACAAAGACATTCATTTTCTAGACTCAAGGCATTGTGAATTAAGTAAATAGATAATTCTGTTTCTATCCTCAACTTCCAGAAAGAGCTGCACAATTATTTGAAATACTGACATTGCGATGTGCCCAAGTGCAATATTCAGGTCGCAGGAGCTGCAATTTTTGGATAAAGGTAAAATGTGTTATAACATACCATTACAAATGAAGCTATGTGGTGCTGCAGAGATGCCCTTGCCTACAAATCATATTCTAGACATATGAAAACATGCTTGTTTGATACAGACCAGAAAAAAATCACATCATAATTATTTCTATATTTTTTTAACTTGAAAATGATAAACAAAAATCACCATTCCCACTAAAATTGGGACTTATTTCACAATCTGTCACAGTAATCACAATATGATTTTTTTGCAGCCCTAGTTTCAGGTAAAATGTGCAGATTACACAAAGTGTTGTTGAGTGATGCTACTCCTCACCACTATCTTAGTGTAACGTTGATTCCTTTTAAGCCTCTGGGAGACTATAGCACGTTTGACAGTTGTCCAAACAGGTCAGCGGTACCATATCTATCAATCCTTTGACTTTTGATCTGCTGGCGCTTCTGACTGTACAGACTGTGTTAATGTGTACACTCTGTAATATGAGTTTAAGTTTTCCATTAAGTCTGGCCGGTCCCTCTGTCCCTGGCAGCTGTAATCTGATGATCATTTGTGAGGCTGGTCAAGTAGGTTAGCAGGAGAGGATCACACTCAGTCGATTAAGCTGAGAGGAATCACCTGGTTGATTTTTGTCAAATGTAAACAGTCAGAATCAGCGCAGTCCAAAGGACAGCTGATGCTTTCCAGGAATGACCAAACTGTGTGTGTTGCTTCCCTGATTGTGATTGTGAATTAACATTATGCTGGTTCATTTGTTTACAAGATAGATGCTCTTCATTCCCAGGAATAATTTTTGCTGATAGATCCCAGAGTCTGCACTGAACTGGGTGAAAGTAAAATCTAAATCACTGCTGCATAAACTGGGTGCTCACTCAACTGGCTGCTGTTTCTCTTCTAGTTTTCTTTGTTATCTTGAGGTTTAACACAGCTTTGGGGCAGTTTCTATTGTTTTTAAGACGAAATCTTTAACATGATTGTATTAGAAATGTTATTCATGATTTGTGTCTTTTTTAGTGTTATTTCTGGTTTTGCTGTAGCCCCATCCACAGCAGTATGTGCTTAGCTTTCATACTGGTAGATTTGGTTTATTAAAGATGCTAGCAAAGCAGCACAAACATTGGATAGGTTGGACCAGTGGGTTTATCTATATATCTTTAAATGTTACAGTTAATGGACAAAAAAGACAACAGAAATAAACAAATTCATGGTGATTTGGTCCACTTTAGCTGCACGGTATTTCCTCACCAGTGACATTCCTATCAGTCTCAGCTCTGTTCGAAATGTTAGCATTAAGCTAACACTTAAACATAAAATACTGAAAGCTTAAAGGACTGTCTCCACCACAACTGTAAAACTACACTGCCCATGTCCCATGGTTGAACCCAATTGTCAATATGTTGATGTACAAATACATGTTTAAATTACCTCAGGCAGTGGGGAAACTGCTTCCCCTTCAACAAGACTGAAAATGTTCATTCAGAATGATTTCTTAAAACAGGTTAGGACTTATGAGAATAAGTATGAGGAACTGAAAAAGAGGAATAACAAAAAAAAAGCGCCAATTCAACATATAGCCTGTCAGTTGGCCCTTTATCTCGTCACTTCAAAATCCTTAAATCAACTTTGTTTCCTAATCCCGCCTCCCCCCTATATTTACAACTTCTTAAGGAAACTTGGAAGGGCACCAATGAGATTAAATGCAAGAAATCCTTTGCTGCTCGCCCTTGATCTCTCAGTCTGTGTCAAATGCCCATGTGTTGTCTGCACAGTAACAGTCGGAGAGGGGAATCTCTTCCTCTCTCCACAACCCTCTGGACTACAATCTCAACTACAAGTGAGCCAGAAAAAACAGGAAGAGCTGCTATTCACTGGGATATCAGTTCCTGCAGGACCAGACGCAGTTTTTCTGATGATTCAGTAAAATACCATGTGTTGTTAGAGCCATTTTCTTGCAGTATTTCCTGTTATGCTTTTTTTTCCCTTTACTTCTGTTTCATTGGCTTCCTGCCTTGAACATCAGTCGCCATGTATTCAAAGAATGCTACACTGCAGAGATGTTTGCAGAATCGCCGCTCGACTATCAACTGTCTGCCAAAGACTGTAGATGACAACAAAACATTCCCATTTTCCCAAGAGAAAACAGTCAAAGCATGGACATCTTTGGAGGATCTGGACAGTCCTGGCATCGAAGCAGAGGAGAGACCAAAAGAACAACAGAGCATTAGTGTTAATGTTGGAGGGAAATTGTTTCTTATCCCCCGAGAGTGTGCCGTTAAATACCCTCAAACCCGTATAGGCTCATTGGCTCTCTGCAAGGACCGAGTGAAACTCCTCACGCTGTGCGACGACTATTGCGTGCGCAAGGATGAGTTCTTCTTTGACCGTGACCCTGCCTTCTTCCACCACATCTGCCATTTCTACACAAGTGGAGTGCTGTGGGTCATACGGGAAATGTGCCCCATTAATTTTGAGGAGGAGATCGCATACTGGGGCCTAAGCCTGAACGACACCCAGCGCTGCTGCTGGATGATGTTCGAAGAGAAGGTGGATGAGGTGAAGGAGACCCTGAAGGTGGAGAAGGAGCTGATGGCTGAGATCGAGGTGAAGTACGACAATGAGTGTTTCAAGGACATGGCCTTTGGGAGTGTGAGGAAGACTTTATGGAACCTTGTGGAGAATCCGTACTCTTCGCCTCAGGCGAAGGCTTTCACTGTGATCTCCAACCTTTTAGTGCTCTTCTCCATCGTTGCAATGAGTCTCAACACTGTTGAGGAACTTAAAATTTATCAAATCAATGGCAAAACACACATGGAATGGGTGGAGATCATCACTATTGTGTTCTTCACCTTTGAATATTTAACTCGCCTTGTCACCACTCCTAATATCAGACTATTTATGAAGAGTGGACTCAACTTCGTGGACATGGTGGCGGTCATGCCTTATTTCTTCCAGATCATCTTTGAAACTTTTTCTGATTCTGAGAATTTGAGTGCACAGGAAGACCTCAAGGCCATGGCCAGGGTCAGCAAGCTTAGCCATGTCCTCAAGGTCATCAAGCTGCTGCGAATCTTTCGGATTTTGAAACTGGCTCGACACTCCACCGGTATGAGAGCATTTGGGTTCACCCTGCGGCAGTGTTACCAGCAGGCCTCTTGCATTTTCCTCTTCATTGCCATGGGAATCTTCACTTTCTCTGCTCTCCTTCATTCAGCTGAGAGGGAAACTGAGGGATCTCCTATCAGCAGTATCCCATATGCCTGGTGGTGGGCTGCGGTGAGTATTGTTTGCTGATTAACTTAATTTTATCCTAATCCATAAACATCTGCCCCTTACCTGTGTTCTTCCTCTGCATACACCTGCTTTAGAAGACAAGAGTGTGATATAGTCGACAATAGTACCACTAAGAAAAGGAAACTAAGAGGGAAGTAATAGTTTCTACCCCAACCTGACACCAGAGCAGCTTGTTTCACTGGTTACAGTCTCTTACGTGTCCTTTTAGCTGCAGAAGTTGTTTGGTTGAAAGTGAAATTAATGTTGAAGCACTTTCTTTTTGCATTCATTTTAATTTTGTTTTGCTAATTAAACTTGTGACTCACGCATGAGCATGTGAGAGCACAGTGGGGCAGCTGCCGCTATTGCAAATCCGAGTGTAAGCAGTTGCTTCAGCTGCTGCGCATTAGCCTCCACCGAAGGTCCTAGGTGTTCAGCAGTTGGTGGCACAATGTGTCATGGAGATAGCACATGTCTGTCGAGTTAGCAGTGAAGAGGACTGCAGTACATGGTCCCTGAGACTTTTTTCTGGGCTAACATTATTCATTACTTGGGGTTTGTAAAAACTGGTTTGTACTAGTCGCCAAGTTTTGAAAATAGTTGACTAAACATCATTACATTGTTGTTTTTTCCTTATAATGCTTATAATAGAGGTCATAGAGGTAAAAACTCCAGCACCTCTGATCATCTTTGTCAGACCCGACAACAAACTTTATACTACAATTGTTGCTGAAGTTTTGCCCTATCAACACTTTACATTGCAGCACCTGAACTAGATGCTTGTTTTCACACTGATTGATTGTCCCCGTAGTGGTACAAATTGTCACCAGGGCAAATTTAAGACTTTACCAGGAGCATGGAAATGGAATCACTGCTCTAAATGAAGTATCCATCCTCCACTCTCTTGCTCTTTAGAGAAGAAAAAGCATTAAATGCAATAAATTGTGATGCCCCAAACCAGTTTGCATGTTTGTTACAAGTCATTAAAGGTAGCTGTCCACCAGTAGATCCTGCTGTTTCTTGTTAAAAAACATGGATCAAAACAGCTGTTTGAAGCCATGTAAATCAACTGCTGGGATTTTAAGCCCCAGTGATGAAAGTCTGTTTCTCAATAGCTCTGAAATGGCAATGGTAACAAAAAACTTTGGCTGGGAGTGGTACCTCAGTCGTACAGCATATAGTCTCAGAAGTTTTCTTGTTTGTTTGAAGATATTTAGTTCAGAACAGAACAAGTGGATTCGATTTACTTCCCCCACTAAACAAATGATGACATCTCTCCAGCTACACCAGTTTAACAGCATTTCAACTGTATGTTGACTATAGAGAAATATTCTCAGGAGTTGGAGAAGCCTCTTCTGTTGGCCAACAGGACTCTGTATTACCTTGAACTAATCTCGGAGCCTATAGGTTATTGGTCTGATGATGATTAGCTTCTAGCGGCAGCTGCCAATATTTCGGGACATCCAGTATGTGGGCCAAGACTTCCTCCTCTATGCACCAGTCATTTCGGCTGATCTGAATGCAGATATAAAAATAAAAAGGATGGTAAAAAGCTAAATCATTGTCAGACAATAGCTGATGGGTTACAAGGTTTCCTTCTGGCATATGCATTTTGTCTCTTTTGCTCTCCACATAGACTGTTTTACTGCCGCTCATACATGATTGGTCAATACTATTAGACTACAAATGGACTGCAAACGGAAAGCAGAATGTATCTGATAGCAAAGTCTTATGCAGTTATCTATTTAAAGAGATTAAGTTTAAACAAATTGAATTCACTTTTAGCTCATTCTTCTATTCTTCGTGAACAATCATACTATAGAGATGAAAATGTTAATGAAAACTGAATAACATGGTGACTGTTCACTTTTCTCTCCTAGGTCAGCATCTCCACTGTGGGCTACGGGGATGTGGTTCCTGTAACTATCGTGGGCCGCTTTGTGGCTTTTGGCTGCATCTCATTTGGTATCATCCTCAACGGCATGCCAATCTCTTTCCTCTTTAACAAATTCTCAGATTACTATGCTAAGCTAAAAGCAGAGGAGTACAGCACTAAGATAGTGCAGCACCGCTTACATCTTAAAAAGCGCCTCCGACGCAAAATAGACATGTGTTTGCATCACTCAGAGGAAGACAACAGTACAGACGACCATTGCGAGTTCCCAACACTGATTGAAACATAAACTATGGGGGTGTGTTAAGTGGAACTATGTTGCCTGGTAAACTTGTAACTCCTCAAGTTTAACAAACAGCACTCAAGTTCCATAAAAGTTACATCCACACTGACTCTTGACTCAACTTGAACTTAAAACATGTGAATTGTAAACGAGTGCCTGTAAATGAATAGAAGCTCTTCACCGAAGTGAATGTCGCAAGTGTTGAAGTGTTATAAGCTGTAAAAATCTGTGTATGGTGTATCAGCTGATAAATATACACTCATGTTTCCTATGCTGTCATGTATGTTTGGAGATGATCACTTTCTATATGACAATGAAGCCAGATTTTGCATTAAATCACTTGTGGGTATCAAACAGTTAACACAGCTGTCATTGTGTGAAGTTTCTTCATTATTACACTGCAAAAAATCGGCAATACAGATACCAAAATACAAAAGTTTCCTTATGTAATGGTAAATATCAAAGGTTGTGTTTGAATTGGCACTGCATACTATATACTCAGTCAGTATATACTGCATACTGTCTACTAAATAAATGATCAAGTGTGCCATTACCTGCAGACTGTTCACACTGAAGTATACTGCAGCACAATGGTTCTCAAATGGTGTGCTGCGTGTGCTGTGGGATTATTGCAATATTCAGTTGGGCCTATACAAAAAGTTATGTATGGATTTTTAATTGACTGTATCAGTATGTTATGCACACCCATTTCCTAATAAGAGGCAAACTCCAGCTAAAAAATGTAATTTATTTTAATTCAGTTTAGAAAACCTTCATGGGGGACCTATTTGTTGCCGCTTGGCTTGCTTACGGGAATTATAAGTGTGTGACACATCAAAAGCCCTGATTGGCAGCAAGTGTTCAAGGTTCAAGGTAACTTTATTAATACCCGAAGGTAGATTTGGTTGCAGTTCCGGGAGAGGGCATCTCAACATACAGACAATTACATACATACAGTACATACTTCAGTGACAGCACAGTTAAACACCACAAAAACAGACATGGGCAGGTGCTCACAAGGCTAACTGATCAGGATTAAAAAGTGAGATAAGATAAAAGACCACTAAAATGCCAATAAGTTAAAGTCAGGTCCAATTTCCAATAAATAGAAATAAATAAGGTAGACCTTAAAAGTCTGTGGGATGATAACATTTAAAAGGAGGAAGCTGTGAGTGGGGCAATGGTTCGCTTTACTGTATGGAGCACCAGTGAAGACGACCTACCACCGAAAGAAAAGAGTCTTATTTGTCTTATTTTTTCTTAGTTTTATTGTTTTATGTGGTGGTAAGAATGATACCACATGTTATAAAAGCTATTGTGCACAGATATAGAAACAGGTGTGCCTTGGACTTGGGTGTGGGCTTGTCCTTTGGCGGTCCTTGGGCACAAAAAGTTTGAAAACCACTGCTCCACCAATACGTCTTCTCTGCATCACATGACTGGATTGATTACAACGTTGCCAGTCCGAGCTACTGTTGAATGAAAATTGTTGCTCCTTTGTTTTCAGCAATTAGATTTAAACAAATTTGTGGCAAAGACCAACTTAACCCCTTTGTGCAAAACATCAGATTTCCTTGAGTTGTATCCCTTTCAAGGAAGCACGCATTCAAATGACACTCTACTCATCTGAGGCTCATTCAAGCAACTCAACTCACAGCCAGTGTTCACCTACTATAAATATGGCTGTGCCTCAAGTTCCCAGCAGATCATTGCTTATGAGGTGGTATTGTGATAGTGGGAAAAATGGCATCAGGACTAAGTGAGAGTTTCATAAGTCAAATGGTTTTTCTTAGCAAAAAGGGTCCTTCTCAAAGTGTCAAATCATTGTAAGACTAAAGGTGTCTAAGGCCACAGCCCAACGATCTGCGGTTCGGCTTCTCGAGTCCGCATATCGAAGTATTCTTGGGCAAGATACTGAACCCCACACTGCTACCAATGGCTGTGCTAATGGTGTATGAGTGCGTGAGAATGCTTAGCTGAGTAGCAGCTGAGTGCAGTAGCCTCAATCAACGGTGTACGAATGTGCGTATGAATGGATGTATGTGACATGTACTGTGAAAGTGTTCTGAGTGGATGGAAGACTAGAAAGGCATTATAAAAGTGCAAGTCTTGGACTTGATCTCCAAGTCCAAGATCAAGGAATCTTGACTGTCTTGTCAAGGACTTTCCTCCACAATCACCTGACAATCACCTCGACGCCTTTGAACATTTATGGAGGCACTTGAAGACTGAGAAAGCCAAGCACTCTGTGACATCACAGGAAGCTTTTTGAACATTGTCACACCATGCTGAGATAAATCCATGTACATTTTTTTTAAAGGGACAGTGCACCCAAAAATGAAAATTCAGCCATTATCTACTCACCCATATGCTGATGGAGGCTCAGGTGAAGTTTTAGAGTCCTCACAACACTTGCGGAGATCCCAGGGGAGAGGGGGTAGCAACACAACTCCACTTAATGGAGGCTTATGGCTCTCCAGATTCAAACGTCCAAAAACACATAATTGAAACCACAAAATATCTCGTCCGTAGTGATCCCAGTGTCCTGAAGTTCCAACATAAAAAGTTGTTTGGAAAAACAACGCAAGACCAGTGAAAACACGTGAACACATGCCCATGTCTCACGGTCTCACGTGAACACGGTGCACAGAGAGGCAGTTAGAGCTACAGGATACAATGAGGCTAAAAACAGAGTTCAAATGATGCTTTTCCAAACAACTTTTTTTATGTCAGGGCTTCAGGACACTTGGATCACTACAGACGAGCAGTATGGAGATATTTTATGGTTTCAATTATGTGTTTTTGGACGTTTGAATCTGGGGCGCTGTATGCCTCCATTAGGTGGAGTTGTGTTGCTACCTCCTCTCCCCTTGGATCTCCGCAAGTGTTGTGAGGACTCTAAAACTTCACCTGAGCCTCCATCAGCATATGGGAGAGTAGATAATGGCTGAATTTTCATTTTTGGGTGCACTATCCCTTTAAAGATTCAACTTCTCACACAGATTGTTAAGCTGATATTCTCATTTGTTAAGAAGAAAATAGTGTTACATTGAAAACACAATGCAAAACAGAAGTATTTTGGCTAGTGGTCTCAGACTTTTTGATCTCATTACACAGGGCCACTGCTGGCCTTTTGGGTGCCCCAAGTGTCATTGCTTTTTGGTGCTCAAAAGTTTAACGTCTTCCACCATTATCTTCTCAACTGTAGGTGACAAATGTAGAATTCTGGTCTTGATCATATCCAACAACCAAAACCTTTTCAGACAGAGGTCCCTGAGACAAAATCTTATCAAATGGAGGACTGTGACCTAATTTGTATCAGTGTAGGAGTCTTAGGCATGAGAAGGTTGAGAACCATCGCCTTATATTGCACTACAGGATCAACTGAAGGGGGCACACTGGTCTCTACATATGCCAATATTTGTTATATTTGTTATTAGATATTTGGCTTGTTTTCCCATTTATGTAAGCTATTAAATTATTATTAATCACTAGCCATGATTGCATCAGTTTTGGAGCTGTCCATGTTGCATGTGATTTGATATTTGATTACACACCGTCATGTGATCCATTGTTGATATGTAAATATTTGCTACAGCAGCTTTAAGGGACTGAATCCTCATTCATTCATCTTCTAACCGCTTCATCCTCTTGAGGGTCACGGGGGGGCTGGAGCCTATCCCAGCTGACATCGGGCAAGAGGCGAGGTACACCCTGGACAGGTCGCCAGACTATCGCAGGGCTGACACATAGAGACAAACAACCATTCACACTCACATTCACACCTATGGACAATTTAGAGTTACCAATTAACCTAGTCCCCAATCTGCATGTCTTTGGACTGTGGGAGGAAGCTGGAGTGCCTGGAGAGAACCCACGCTGACACGGGGAGAACATGCAAACTCCGCACAGAAGGGCTCCCCCGCCCGGGATCGAACCGGCAACCCTCT